GCATGCAGGGGGGGAGGGGGAGAGGAGATCGGACGGAAAAAGAGGAAGCACAGCAAGAACACTTTCAAAGGACAGCATTGTTTCGTAAGGCCCAAACATAAATTTACCATCACGGCAGTCGTGAAAAGATCGCAGCGAAGTCGCTGTTGTCGCCTCCGCCCTTTCCACACACGAACTCGAGAAGTTGACCTCATCAGAATCGCTTTATCGCGTTGTACCACCGACTCATGGAACGCACCTAGCGCATTCGGGCCCCATGTGTACAGTCTGGTTAGAATCCAGTTCTGCTTCAATATGATGAGAGAAAACGGAGAACGAACAAAGAAGCATGCGTGACCGGAGCTCGCCACTGCTACAGACGCACGACACAGACCGTCGTGAAGCATAACTACCCACCACCGCCATTCACTTTTCCATTCAGCGCAGGGCCTCCATGCTTTAAGGGGAGAACGGCTCGTTCAGCCTATCCTAGCTCTCTCCCGATTCAACACTGGGAGTTGCACCCCCCGCCACCTTGGCGTAGTGCCGACGCCACTCGATAATCTGCTGCGCCTGCTCGTGCAGCCCAGCCTTTAAGAACGCCCCAGACAGCTGCAGTGCCGTCGACGCGTCGGGCACCCAGTTTTTGTCACGCATCTCGTGCAGACAGCCGACAGCCTTGTCGAAGCGGCCGGTGCGGGCGTAGCCGCGAGCAATCGCGTTCAACGCGTTGTACGTCACCTCCGCTTTTTCGTTCCCTTCGCGGACGCGCTTCACGAGCTCCTCGACGGTGTCCATTTGGCCCATGCGGCAGTAGTACGGGATGAGGCCGCAGAGGTCGGTCGCACTGAGCTCCTCCTCCGCTCCTGTATTCACCGTGCGCAGCAGCTCCACGCACTTCTGCATACCGTCGGCACTGCCGCAGCGGCAGAAGGCGTCGATGGCGGACCACAAAACGCGCTTTGTCAGGAGGGGCCGATGCTCCTCCTTCGTGACCTCGTCGAAGAGACGCTGGACCTCTTTCTCGGCACGCGCCCGTCCGTAGGCGGAGATCATAATACAGTACGCGATGTCGTCCATTGCTATGCCAGCCGCCTCCCGCTTCTCTCGCAGCTCCTCCAACTGCTCGTAGCCTTTCGCCCGCCCGTAGCCGTCCATGATGATGTTGTACGTGACGTTGTTGGCGGCGTAGCCCTTTTCTAGAAACTCCTCGTACACCTTCTCCATCTTCACCACGTCGCCGGTCTTGGCGTAGGCGTTCATGACCTGGTGGAAGGTGACCGATGTCGGGGCGGTGTCCGGCGTGGACTTCATGTCGTCGAACAGCGACTCCATCTCAGACATACGGCCCGACTTGCCCAGCATGTCCAGCACCGTCGTGGCCGTCACGGGGTTCGGCGGCACCTGCTTCATCATGTTGTCCAGCACTCCTTGCATCTTGGACACGTTGTGCTGCCGGCTGTAGAGGGAGAGGAACTGGTTGTACACCTCCGTGTCGGGGAACAGGCGGGACGCGACGAGGTCCTCCCAGGCGTTCGCGACGCCTTCCTGGTTGCCCATACGATTCAGCGAGGAGGCGAGCACGGAGTAGAAGGTGGCGGAAATCTCACCCTCGTGCGACTTGAGCAGTCCAATGACCTCGTTCACCTTCTCCTCCTCTCCCCAACGGGCAAAGGCGGTGATGAGGGTGCCGAACGTGACGTCGTTCATCTCGACCGTCTCCGACTTCATCTTCTCCAGCGTGGCGTCGAAGCGAGTACGGTCCATGCGCTTCGCGTAGGTGTGCAGCAGCACGTTGTACACGTCGGTGCTCCACGACGAAATCGTCTTCACGAAGGCGTCCACGTCGTCCGGGGTGCTCTCCTTGTTCATCGCCAGGGCGTGCAGCATGCTCGTTTGGACGTGGGGGTGTTCGCTCAGGTTGCGCTTCTGAGCCTCCGCGTAGAGGGCTTTGGCCTTCTCCAGGTCGCGGCCGTGCACGCGAATTAACACGGCAAAGGCGATGGACGTGAACTGCAGGGTGCCGGCCTCCTCGCGCTTGCGCATCTCCCCGTGCAGTGCCTCGACGGTGTCCATCTGGCCCAAGTCACCAAAAATTCCGATCAGCGTCGTGTAGAGGTGAACGTCCAGCCGCACGCGGCGCTCCTGCAGTTCTTTGTAGTACTCCTCCACGTGCCGCGGGTAGTACTTGCCCAGCGAGCGGAAAATCCACGTGTAGGTCACCGCGTCGGGGTTCACGCCGTTGCTCTCCATCTCCCGCTTTAAAGCGAGAACCTCTTTCACGTTGCCCATGAGCGCGAACCACTTGAACAGCTCATTGTAGATGCGCACGTCGTTTGTCAAAGGGCGGAACTGCATGCGCTGCCACGCATCCTTGATCGACTCCGGCCGCCCTGCTGCGCCGTAGCCGCGGATGACAGCGCGGATGTGCGCCGCGCTAATGTCCATATCCGGGTCTCCCTGCTTCAGCCGCGACTCGATGGAGGAGAGGAGGGTATCGACCTTGGAGAGCATCAGCTCCTCACTCCCGCGATCGCCAAAGTGGAGAAGACGCGCGTAGGCGGTGATCACAATCGAGTTGCACGTGGCGTCCGGGACGTAGCCCAACTCCTTCAGCTCTTCCTCGATCGCTGCAACCTCCTCCACACTCGCGACGTGGCGCATTCTATGCCGCAAAATGGTGGCGCACATCTCCGGCGAGAGCGGCACCTTGTGCTCCACCGCCGCCCGCAGCGTCGCGGTGAAGGCTTCGTCGGTGTCGAGCTTAAAGAAGGCGCGGAAGAGCGCAGCGCACACCTCAGCGCGGGACTCGGGCGGGTCGACCTGTGGTACCACCTCCACAATCTCCCGCAGTTTCTCCACGCGCTGCAGCTTCTCATAGCCGGAGATGAGCGCCAGTAAGTCATCTTTGCCAAGCGCCTCCAACGACACGCCCTCGCGCAAGGCGTCGGCGTCCGCCTCGTGGTTCGCGAAGAGGAACGCCGCAATGCACAGCGGTCGCAACCCCTCCACATCCTTCATCTCCTGGGCGAGCTGCAGCATCAGATCCGAGCTGTTGTTGTCCCGGTATGACTCAAATAGGTAGCGGATGGAGTTCACCGTCATGACGCAGCCGTACTTGCGGAAGCGCAGAAAGGCTCGGAACAGCAGGTGAGCCATGTCATGTTGTGCGTACTTGACGCACTCCTCTAATATGCCTTCCATAATCTGCGACGCGTACGCGGGGTCGATGAGTTGCTTACGGAGGAACTCCTGCAAGATAATCATGAGCTGCGTGACCGTGTTCCGGAAGTAGAGCTCACGCTTGCGTGAACGCCAGACCTGCTGTCGGACATGCTTGAGCACGTGTCTCGGCTTCGTCTTGACCACCTGCAGGAGGTCGTCTTCATCCTTTTGGGAGAAGGGATGAAAGGAGCTGGCCCGAGCTTTTGCGACGCCGCTGAGCTGCAGAACGCCCGTCACGCGCAGAAACAACGACGTGCGACGAAACATGCCTCACGTGGCACACAATAGGCCTTTGGTGTTTGCTGCTTGTTTGCTTGTTTGCTGTTGCTCTGTCGAACTACTACTACTACTTCAATATATATGTGTGTGTGTGGAGCTAGGGTATTTGCGTACCGCGTACGTTATTTGCAAAGGTAAGGTGTGTGTGTCTACCTCTTCAGACGTTAAGGTGATGATCCCTACGCTGCCGCGCCATGAATTGAAATACAAACGATCGTTGTCAGTCAGTAAAGGGGGGAAATGAAAAGAAAAGAGGCGATCGCACGCGAAGGAAACGAAGTGAAGCGGTACCACTAAAAAAAAAGTGTTTCTGCACTCGTGCCATTAATACAGCAGCAGTCAGTTCGTTCGAAGAAGAAGAAGGCAGATACGCAGCTCCAGCTGAACGTCACATGAGGCAGGCGATGCAGCTCGCTTCGTTCTTCTTGTGACAAACAAAGGGCACCAGTTCCTTTTTTCCTTTAGTGTTTTCGATTGTAGGAGACGTAGCCGGCGTGGTCCTTCCACTTCACTCCTCTCGTGGCTCCCGTAGAAGTCTAGTGAGCGTGCGCAGCAGTTCCTGATAACGCTCCTGCTCGCGGCGCCGAAGCTGTGTGTAGGTATTCAAGAAAATTTGAACGGAGTTCATCGAGGACACCTCAAATGAGGTGGCGGCAGCCACGTGCGACGGTGGCCGCTGCAGATGGGCGTAGAACTCGTCCTGCAGAGCTATGTAGTCCACCACGTCATCCCTCGCTGCGGCAAACGCCCGTTGGTAAAACTGTGTTGTGTCCATCACCAACGCCTCCGCGCACGTCCGCGCATCCTCCGCCGCACCCAACGCATCAGCACCGCCCGTGTGCGGCACTGGAGGCACGGCGGAGCGAGAAGGGCCAGCGTGCGTGCTGGTACGCGTGCGTCCGCTGTTGATAGCGTCGTACAAGCCACAACAACAGATTTCTTTCTCCTGCGCTATTTGTCGCAGACAGTCGCACCTCGACGCGTACTTGGCCAGTTCAATCCGCAACGCCTCGTTGAAGCGCTGTGTCTCGCAAATGGACGCACGCAGCTGCTGAGCAGCATCGTAGGTTGGGGGAATGGTGCTATGAGCAGCGGGTTTAACACGAGAACTGTTCAGTTTACGCGTACGCTGCTGGTCGAGGGTGTAAAGCCTCTCGAGCGTGACAAGGAGTTCCTTCTGCAGCGCTGCCGTTGCTGTCTCTAGCAGGCGTTGTTGGGACTCATAGGTCTGTTGTATACGCTGGTAAAGGTCGCAGCGACGTTCATCCTGGGCGCGTCGCGCGAGAAGGCAGTCGATCAAGTCTTGATTACGCTCCACACAAACCCGCACCTCATCAGAAACACTTGCCTCCACGTCGTTCGCAAGTTGTGGATTGTGGCTGCGCATCAGCTGAAAAGTGCAGTATCATTTCTTTACAGCCCGGCAGAAGTTCGAGGAGACAAAAAGTGAGAAGAGCCAGCATCATGGAGAAGTGAAGCGTGAGATGCAGTAATGGAGAAGTACTCACCGTTGAAGAGCGGAGAGGACGCGCACACGCGAAATTAGGCTGCGTTGGGCCCGTGCGCATCATTCGTAAAAGCAAATCCAGCAACAACAAAAAGCTTCTTCTACAACTGAGTCCTCGATGCTTTCCGTGTCTCCAAGTATTCTTTCTTAGCTCATTTGCCCTTGCCTCACATTATGACATCTTTGATGCTCGTTTCCCGTGCACGACAATGTCGCATCCAGTTTCCCCCTCGCTGGGAAAGTAAGCGAACACGTCTGTCACTGCTGTTTTCAAACATTTTGCTGATATTTCCAGAAGTTTAGTGGCCGTCATTTTGCGCTTGATCCACACGTACATCCCCCGTATTTTCTCTGGAGGGAAAAGGGGAGAAATAAAGAAAGAAAAAATAAGGCCTGTGAATTACGAGACGGAAAAGACAAATCAAATTCGGTGGTTAAGGAACGTTAAAGTCGTTTCTCACGTTTTTACTGGTTTGATAGCGCCGTCGCTGGCCACAACGCTGAATAAGGAAAGGGAAGGCACGGCGGGGCGCACGACACAGGGTCGCAATTTCGAGGTGGCAAAGAACCCGTAAAGCGCTGCGGCTTCCCTTCTCCTATTTTTCCGGTTTTTGCGATACTCCTCATCCTCGGCGGGTTTTTTTTTTTCATCAAAGCATTTTACCTTCCACCTCACCACAGTCGGTCTGCACGTACAACCCGAAAAGGAAGAAGAAGACAGAATACGCCGACTACGCCTGATGAGGGATGAGCGACTCGGAGTCGTCGAGGTAGACGACGCCCTGTCCAACTGGCGACTGCAGCAGCATCTCAAACGGCTTTTTAGGGTAGTCGATGAGACCCACGTACTCGGCAGGCAGCGCGAACTTCCTGCACTCGTCTAACAACGCCGCGTCGTGGAAAAACATTTGCTCCCACGTGGTGGGGAAGTGTGCCCGCAGCATCGCCACCACCTCGGGGAGGTCCTTCCGCAGCGTGAACATAAAACAGTTCGCGCCGGCGTCGAAGGTGTAGGCCATCACGTTGTGGCCCTTCTTGGCGTTGAAGGCACGAATGAGGCGAATCATCGCGTAGCTGTCCTCCGTCGCGTACTGGATGCGCGGCTCCGTCGTGCGGCAGACCTCCTGCAGATCATCCGAGTCCTTCATGGCGATCTCCGCGAACGCGTTGAAGTCTCGCTTCTGGATGGCCTCCTTCACCGCTGCCATGCGCTGCGGCACCACCGTGGCGATGCGTTCCGGCATCATGGGCGACGTCTTGAGAGATTGCTGCATGCCAGAAGTGCTCGACACGTCCTTCTTCTCCCCCTTCAACACCGCACACATCACCTGCACCTCGGGCCAGTACTTCTCGTCAACAAACTGCGTTGCAAGGCAGTCGGTGCCGTCGGCCTTCTCGCCCTTGTGCCAAATCACAAAGCCACCGTAGGCGCTGCGGCACGCGCTGCCGGAGCCGAGGCGGGCCAACATCGACACATCCACCGTCGCGTCGAATGCCTTCACGAGGGCGGCGGAGAGGGCGCAGTAGCCGCTGGCCGACGACGCCATGCCGGCTGCGGTGGGGAAGTTGTTCTCGGAGACGATGTACGCCTTCAAGGGCGCCCGCTCCGCCGGGCAGTTCGCACGGATGCACTTCAGCACCGACTGGATGCGGGGTGTCTCCTGGATGTTGCTCTTCACTCCGTTCAACCACAGCTCGTCCTCAGCCAGATCGCCACACAGCACCACCGACGTCTTGGAGCGGAAAGGCTTCGTCGACAGCGTGATGCTGAAGGAGTCGTTGGTAGGGAGGATCAGCTCCTCGCCGCCCTCGCGCTTACCCCAGTACTTGATGAAGGCAATGTTGATGGGCGCCTCCACCGTCACACGAATCGGGGTCGACATTTGTACTCTTCTGCTATCGGTTCTTCGATGCGGCTGCTGTTGTTGCTGTCGAGGACGTGAGAGGGATTTTTGCTTGTAGATGTGTTTTGATGCAAAGACTAGTTCACTGCTACGGTTAGGATATCAAGTAATCTTCGACGTGGCGGCAAGGATACACCACGGGGGTTTACCGTCGATCGTTTGATGCTTTAAAAGAGAAAAGAAGGAGAAGACGACAAATATGCGTTGTAAGGATGAACGACGTGCTTTGAGTTATTGAAGAGGTGTTTTCGTTTAGAGAGGATAAGGTTGAGAAAAGGAATGAATTTGTCAGTTAAGCAGTCGGAGACATACCGGGCGAGCGAAGAGACCATTCTTAATGAGTCATCCCGTACGACAAAGCAGATTTCGTCAGCAGCTGTAAAGCGACCACGCTGCGCCGCCTCACCAACGTGCTACCAAGGTGAGCAACTTCGCCTTTTTGGCAACCGTTCTTCATCGATGTGTTTGTTGCTGTGACAGAACAGCCACCAAACGCCCTTCGAACCAGAAAAAAAGTCGTTACTACGCCGGCGCGCAAGGCGCGAAAATGTACCCGAAGGCCCTCTCCGTCAGCTCAGGAGTTGCCGCACGGCTTGCTGACGGTTTGCCTCTGCGGGAGAGAGAGCCGCAAAGTCTCGCGGTGTCAGCGTAAAGTCAATGCTCGCCCACAGGAGGCGAAGAAGAGCTCTTTCCTTCTCCGACCTCGCGGACAGCCCTTGGTTGTTTACGCTGCCGCCAGTAGCTGCAGCGGCGAGGAAGCGTTCCTCGTCCGCCAGAAAGACAAACTTCAGCACGAGAAAGAACTCTCGCGGAGTGGCGGTGACGGAGCAAAAAGAGATGGGACCGAAGGAGGAGGTCACGAAGGACACCACGCTGTTGGGGGTGTGGGCGTCGGTCAAAATGCCGCGCTGGTGACTGACGCAGCGGCGTGCCGCCAACGGGTAGGGCGCAGCCTTCGCGCCGGCAGAGACGTGGTTGGCCTTCGTCGCGTCGTCGTTGGCCACACTCGGATGGACATGCAGCAGCTTCGCCAGCCGCGCATCCGCCGCGGTGAGATCCTCCTGCGCCGTGCGCAAGTCGCTATACGTCATCGTTAATTCCTCTTGTAGCGTCTTCAGATTTCTCCAGTGAGCCGCCACCTCCTCAGACCCCTCTGTCGTGCTCGCGTCGGACAGCTGCTCTACCAAGAGCTGGTCCATCTGAAGATCAGCAGGGAGAAGGTGATTACACGGCAGTTCCCCCGTCTCTCGGCAGCGCTTGCGGGTCAGGGAAGAAGACGAAACACTGTTCAACACAGCCGACGATGACGCCACTTGCGCGTCATTGGCAGATGCATAAGCCGCGTGTGGAGCGTCCGCCTCCACGGCAGCAAAAACGCGTGACCGAATGCTCACAACGCAGTTTTTAAAGCGGGCCCCGTCCAAGTACTGAACCGCCTGCTGCGCCGATGTGTGTTTGCGGAACTCCACCGAGTAGCACGTGCGCTTCGCAGCGGCGTCGTACTGGAGTTTAATTTCGACCACATCGTCGATGATTTGCAACCACTCTTTGATGTCCTCCATGGTGACCGCCTTCTCCGCATCGCCAAGGAAGACGTACACCACCGCCGCGGCGTTCACCATTATTCAGCGCCGCGATTTGCTCGCGCGACTTATTGGTGTGAGTTTTCTTTTTTCATCCGTAAGCAGCGGATGTTTTGAATACGGTGCCAATCCAGCGGGTTCGAATGCAGGAGGAAGAGAGGAGAGCGTGAAATGAAGAAAGAATAGCAACGGCGTTAGACAGAATACGTGAAGAGATGTCCACTGTAAAACGAAGCAGGATGAAGCACAAGCGATGGATTCCAAACACAACGGCAATGACGTGAAGAAAGCTGCAGCGACTACGGGCTGATGGCAGAAAAGGAAAAACGACCAGAAATGCCGTAATCCAAGCTACGTGCATTGTCATTTTCTCAAAAAAAAGATCTGCATTGCTGAACGGCTTCGTTGCGGCAGTTTGAGGTATTGGGTTTTCTTCGTTCTCCTGAGCAGGCTTTCAACGGCTGCCAATACTGTTGGCGGCCAACAACAACGATAACAGGCAACGCAAAAAGCGAATATCGCTTCTTCACGAAGGTTTGGAGGTGTCCGTTTAGACATGCGCGCTGCAGAGTGAGGGATCTATTCCCTAGCGGCGCTGTGATCATGTAAAGCACCGCTAAGCATCTTTGTTGTTGTCATCCGCACGAGCAGGCGATGAAGTAGGGGCACAAACTGGCGCTTGCCCAGTCAGCAACGGAGAAGACGTTGTGGTGCCTTCCACCACGACCTCTTCCGCATGTTCGGCATCAGCCGCTTCTCTGCCCAGGCGCCACCACACCGCCGCCCAGCACGGCGGGGCGATCAGCAGATACGTGAAGACCAACAAAAGAGCGTTGCGCAGCTGCAGCCGATTGGTGCAGTGCCCCGCCGCGGTGTCCGTCACCCATGCACACTGAAACTGCGCCGCGTCCGCCGCGCACCGCTCCTGCGGTAGGCCGTGGCAGTGGCGCCCTAGGTAGTCCGACACGAGCCCCGTCAGCGTCGGCGAGGGAAAGTCGCCCAGCAGGTGAATAAAAAAGACGGAGTAGCTCACCGCGTAGGGGCGCAGCTCCGCCGGCACCACCGTCAAAATGGAGGCGTTGATGGGGGCGGTGATGGCGAAGAGGGCAACGACCGCCACGGTGAAGGCAACGGCGAACCGCACCACCTCCGTCGCCAGCAACGCCACGGCACCGCAGGGGATGGCGATGAGGATCATCAACACATCAAACTTCTGGCACTGTACGGCGCCTTGGACCCCGGCACTGCCTCCCAGGCGGTCAACAACGAAGCCACCGAGCAGCGAACCGACCACCCCACTCAGCGTGGTCGCAAGGCCCATGAAAACGGCTGCCGTCGCCTTCGAGAGCTGCAGAGGTCCCTCGTGCAACAGCGGGATGCCCCATGTGGACACGGCCCCGGTGACGAAGCAGTAGGTGGCAAAGCCAAAGACGAGCAGCATGTAGTTGACGTTGCGCAGCACCAGCAGCGTGGCGGCTGCGAAGGTGAGCGAGGTGGCATCGCCCGCCGTCGGCGCTAGGTGGTAGCGCGACGGGATGCCGCACAGCAACGCGATGATCGGCACGGCGGCCACCACCTCGCCGAGGTACAGGAGACGCCACGAAGTGATGCCGTACAGCGACGGGTACGACGTGAGCACCCCACCGCAGCCCATCCCCACCGCCGTGCCGACGGGGATCATCGAGTAGAAGAAGCCGATCCACGAGGTGCGGCGGGCGGGCGGCGCGATGTTGTCGATTATGGTCACCGTAAAGCCGACAAAGGCCGCCTCGCCCACGCCGACGAAAATGCGGCAGAAGAGCAAAAAGCCGTAGCAGAAGGCGGCCGCACAGCCGAGACACGTCACACACCACAGAAACATCCCGAGCAGGAGGACCGTCTTCGAGCCCCACGCACTCCCGCGAGAGGCGAACAGCGGGCTCGTGAATAAGTAGCCGATGGTGAAGCCGGACACCAGAAGGCCGCTCTTCGCATCCGAAAGAACATCGCCTCTGCTGACAATGTGGCGATCGACTCGAATGGAGGACAGCGCGCCGGCCGTCGCGCCGCGGTCAAAATACAAAAGAAAGTTGAGGGCGGTGAAGGTCAGGAGAACGATCCTGGGGGACACCCAGTGGCGCTCAGCGCTGTGTGAAGTGATCGCCGGCGCACCCTCGCTCGTCGGCTCATTCATGATTGGCGTCGTCTCGGTGGCGCTGTAGATATCGCTCATTACTGCTGTGTCGTCTGGTTTTTTTTTATTTTCTTTTTTACTGTGAAGCGACAGCAGAGGAAGGAATCTGTGCAATACGGGTTGTTACTGTGGTTCTAAAACCTGTGCAACGAAAGGGAAGGCCCACACGCGGTGTTATCGCTATCCTCCGCAGTGTCCGCATTTTTTACCGTTTTTGATGTGATTAGACAACACGTGCGGCGACGAAACGGACGAAGCGGACGGAGGTAAAGCGAGGCGCGCAAGATGGACACTTTTTGGAAGGGGGCTAACGTAAGTTGCGCACAGCGCTGTGCATGGCGCAATGGTGCAGCAAAAGCAGGTTGAGGGAGCTGCAGCAGAAGTTCATCTCGAGAATCGACTTCTTCGATTTCTTTTGGGTTTTACTATTACTAACGAGCAGAATTAGCCGAAAGAAGCAGAGTAAAAACACTGGAGTACAACAGATAAGAAAAGAAGGGAAAGAACACGAAAGGTTCTCAAAGCAGAGGCATCTGGACAGCGAGATCGGCGATGGCTATCTTGGACGCATTCGTAGAGTCCAGCATGTCTGCCAGCGTCAGGGCCCACGATCGCCACCTCGCCACCTCGTCTCTGCGTTGTAGCACGTTCCACTGCACCGACTCATTCCACGCCTCCACCGCGAAGAACTCCACGGCGGTCTCCGCGAGGCGAGCGGCGTGCCCAGCGAGGGGAGAGTTGCCGCAGGAACGGTGCTTCAAGGCGCCGCTCAGCATTTCGGTAAGCGGCGTTGGTGTGACGGGATCCAACATTTGAATAAGGGCAGTGAAGACCTCCGCTCTGGCGTCGGCGCTGCTCGCCATGCCGTAGGCGTCGTACAGCATCGAAAGCACGGCGTAAACCGCGTCGCCATCGTTCCCAGCCGCCGACAACCGACGGCAGTGCGTCTCTGCGGCCGCGATTTGCAGCGTCACGGCGGCCGCACGGAGTGCAATGCAGACGTGCGGCGTACGCGCCGCGACGCGATGGCAGACCGTCGCCACCTGCTCCAAATCCCCCGCCTCAATGGAAGGGAGGTGGGGCAGCGTGTCGAGCTCCATGGATGCAGCGGGTGGCTCCTCGGCACCCTTCGCCTCCTCCAGCTGACGCAGCGCCATCTCAACGGTGGCGAGAGACAGCGTCACCCTCGCTCGACTTTCTGGTGAGCTGCCGTTGTCCCCCGTGCTGTCGGACTCCACCGCTTCCTCCGACAGTCTTGTGAGAAGGGTGTGCGACTGCCGCAGCTCCGGCACCGTCAGACACGGCTGTTCGGCGACGTAGAGATCAAACTCCGCCTCGAGCAGCGCGCTCAAGCGGCGGGGCAGCAGCGCCAGCCCGCACGCGGCATCGCCAGAACGGTCCATGCACAATTTCTGTGAGAGGCACACACCAGTGTAGGAGAGACGCACCGCCTGGATTGGGCTGCCCTCCAGGAGACGATCGCTGATGTACCACAGAAAGCAACTCCACCATGACAGCAAAGTCGGTGAAAGCGGGACCTCCTCGCCGGTCAGCAAAGGGCACACATGCGCCACAAAGAGATCACCCACGGCGCTGACAAGGGCGTCCTCACCACTCGCCAGAGATCCGAGAGCGCACACCTTGGCAAAGTCCAACCTGCACTGCGCAGGGTCCGCAGCAAGACGAGGAAGGCAGCGCTGCGCAACGGAGCCTGCGACATCAAACATAGAACGGACGAGCAGGAAGTTGATCAGCGCAGCGCAGCTCTGCACCTTTGTATCGTCCTCTTCGCTGCTGCTCCAAAGAGCGTGCACAAACTGCAGACCCTCGTCACACTTCCCAAGGACGAAGGCCAGCTGGGCCTGCGCCAGCATCACAGGAGAGTGCAGAGCGGGATGCACCGTCGTCTCCCGCCTCCACAATTCCCACGTGTGCTGCAGCGCCGTAATGGGGTCTTCGTCGTCCGTGGCGGGGTCGGAGGGTGGGTCCGGCTGCAGCTCCACGGCCAGTCTCGACATGTCCAACAACATCGACTGCCTTTCCGCATCTGAGCTGCCAAGCGCCGAGAAGTCCGTCACGGCGACCTTTAGGCACTCCCATTTCAACGCACCAGACAAGCGCCCCCGCCTGCACGGATGCGTCGCGCGAGCTGCGGTGGTGCCCTGGACCGCCGCCTCCTCATCGCACAGGGCGAGCTGCCAGAGGCAGCAGAAGAAGAAACGGTGAAAGACCTGGTCCTGCGGTTTCGCGGTGATACTCAGGAGACGGACCAACTCCCCTACGCTCCACTCCGAGTGGACGTGAAGAAGAAAGCACAAGAGGCGAAAGCGATCCTCCTCGTCGGCGGACGCGGGAGACGACGCGACACGACGCTGCAGAGACGTGGCGACTTCTTCTTCCATGGTTGGGTTCGACTCCACCAGGCCCATAGCGATGGCACAGAGTTCTGCGAAGGCAACGGTGTTGTCGCGCCTGCACAGCGCCGCAAACAGCTCGGCCGCACTCTCCGTGTTGTGCCGCAGTGACTCAGCCTTGAGGCGCACCACGAGCGGCTCGAAGGTGTGAAGGTGTTCGTATGCCGCAGCAGCAGCTTCCACCGCCTCCCCGTACGCACCCGTCTTGAGGAGCAAGCAGGCCAGTTGAAGCTCCGTCGTACCCAAGAAACTCTGCTGCTTCACGGTGCGCACGTCGTCCTGCTTCTGCAGTCGTAAAGATAAGGAGAGCAGCGCCTGGGTGGTGTTGTGGCACTCCGCAGACGCACCCAGCTCCTTTTCGTCGGCCGACGGTTCTTCTGCCGCGTCAGCGCTGCACGTCACAGCGAAGGCTGCCTCATAAATAAACTCAAAAAGAGCCTCCCGGTACGTACTGCTGTTCTGTGTTTCCTCTGCCAGTTTTTCCGCCATGGCGCAAGCCTGCGAAAACCGGCCTGACCTCCACAAGACGTGAAGCTGGGCGAAGTGGACCTCCATGGCGTACTGACCCACCTTTACCTTCGACGCGTCCCGGCACGCCGCAACGATGGCAGACGCCCACGTCAGCATCATGTGGGCCTCGTCGAAAGCGTTGCCGTGGTTCGCCAGCGCTTTGCTCACCTTCAGGCACATCAAAATACATTTCTCAGCGTCGTCGCGGTGGTGCGAGACGTGCGCCTCGAACACCTCCGGCGGAGCGAAAAGGCGGTGACTGGTGAGGAACAGGTAAGCGGCGAGGTGCCGGGCCGCCCTCTTGAGCACGAGACGCTCTACAGGCCACGATAGCAGAAAGGTGGCATTCCAGCAGTCCTGTCCGCAGAGTTGAAGCTGCAGTGCTTCCTTCACAGGGAGACAGTCGTGTCGCTCAGCGTTTTCCTTGACGGCAGTCAGGCGCTGCGCCAGTTCGGCCTGTGCGCTGCCCACGTCCACAACGCGGTTTTCATCCGTCCATGCTCTGCATGCGTCGTGCAGCCACGCAGCGCACGCAAGGAGCGAAGGCGCGTCGCCACCTGTGGCTGACATGATGAACGGTTCAGTTTGTGCTCGTGCTGCGAGACTCAAAGGCTCGCAGATTTCATGAAATTTTCAATTGTCTGTCGTTACATTGAACGACGGCACCGCGTGGTGTGCGTGAGGAAGGGCTCGGGAGAACGAAGCGAAGAGGTGTGAAGAGAGAGAGAGAGCTGTTGTGAAAGGGAGAAAAGCAAACAGTCGAGACATCCGCACCTTGAGTGCAGGAAGAAGTGCCTTGCGGCTAGACCCTTTGTCACTGAGAGGGCTACCGTGAACGAGTCAAACGCATCGTCACCACCGATCAATCGAAGCGCAGCCGTCCTTTTCAATGCCTAACGGTCTCCGTTCATCATCATCAAGTCCGCAAAACAGAGACTCTTCCTTCGCCGCGCGAACGATCGTCCTTCTTTACACTCTTGCCCTCGCCGTCCATTTATGTTTGACCGTTAATTTTTTTTTTAAAACGAAAAGGCCAAATGTAACTACTTGGCGCCAAACGTCAGCACCCAAGTCCGCGCGGAAGCACATACGCCCCCTCATGCTACAGAAAGAAGAGCGTGTGATAATAAAAGCAAGCATCGGCTTACTGCACAAGAGCCGCCATCACGTCAACAACGAACAAACAAACACACAACGGAACGAAAGAAGCCCCTCCTTATGAGGCACGGTACGCTCACACAAATCGCGTCGTGTAAATGCACAAGTAACATCACTCAAGTAGTATTAAGTACGTGTGTATGTGTGTGTCCAGCCTCTTAGTGCTTCTGCGACTCCACCACCGCGCGGGCCTTCTCAATTTCCTCCTCCTGCGTCACGTCCCGCTCCCGCTCGCGCACCATCTGCATAATCTGCTTCGACACACGATGCTCACGTACCTTGCGCTCTAACACCGGCGTCGTCGGGCCTACGGTGTACGCGTGGTAGACAAAGGACAGCCAGATGTTGCCGAACAGGATCACACAGATGAACACCATCGACATGACACACGTCTTCCACACCTGCAGCTGCGTCTTGCGCCAGATCCACCGCACGCGGTTTGTGCGGAGCGGCTTCGTCCAGCGGCCTATTTTGTTCATGGCAAGCATGCGATAGAACATCGTACGGCGCGCCAGGGTGTCCTTCACCGGACCGGCACCCGGACCCCACATGCCGGGGCGATCCGAGTACTTGGACGGGGTGGGGGTCAGGTGGCCCCGATTCATGCGCGCCATCGGGCTACGGCGAAGCATGGCGGGCAAAGTTCGATCAAATGAAACTGTTATATGTAATAGATAGAAAGCTATGCTACTGTGTGAAGCTAGACGTGCTATGATACGTTGAAAGGAATCGCCAACCTGCGCTGTGCTTGCGACTCCTTGTGACACGAAACTTGTACTGTTCGCTAGGGAAGCCAAAAGGCTTTATAAGATCCGCACACAGCAAAGTACAAGGGAAGTTGAGGCAAGTAGACGATCACAAAGAACAATGAAGAGAGCGCAAAAGTGAGACGGGTTGGCGTGAAGACGGGGATCCTGCCTTTCCTATCTATGAAAGAATTCAATGGCTTCTCAGGACCCTTGTCCTCGAGGCAACCCAGACAGGCAACTTAACCGGAGATGAGCCGCAAGAAGAGCTCACCTGCTCGTTGCCCCACCTCACCTCTGTCGTTTTTTGTTTTGGTGTTGGTGGATATTTTTTGGAGCAGTTGTGCTCTTGCAGCTGAGTCAGTGTATATGAGAAGGTAAAGGCCAAAATAAAGGCATGCTGCGCAACCATGTTTGTTTGTTTGTTTGTTTTGCCACAGCACACCGCGTATATAATGTGTCACGTCTCTTTCAATGACTCGCTGTTTGAGCACACCATGCAGAGGTCTCAGCACCGTGTTTCGCCCCGCGATGACGAGAACGGCATAAATGATGACTATGGAAGCAACCTTCCGCCCTCCCAGCTCTTTCGTTTCTCCTGTTTTTCCTTGCCCTGACACGCCACACTAACGGCGCCGTGGCGGTGGCTTGGGTCGGTTCACCGTATTGGCGCAGTGCGGGATGTGGCGCCGTGCCACCTCGGCGGCAAACCGGCGCTGGCAGTGCGGACACTGCACGTAGTCCGGATTGGTCGAGTACGTCGGCGGCGGCAGATCTTTTGCCGTACCACCCGACTTGAGCACCCGGTCCACCTGCCGCGCCTCGCGCAGCGCACGCCGAAACGCTTCACTCTCCGACTTCCAATCGTGCTTTGGCACCGCGACAGCAGCAGAAGCGGCGGCGGCGGTTTGTTTCTTGTTTGTGTTGGAGGCAGCAGGAAGCGCGTCATCGGGCTGGCGCTGCTTCGCTGCGTTGAAGACGCGCCGATTTTTCTGCGTCGCGCAGAACTTTTCGTGGCGTGCAAGCGGTGTCGGCGCGAATCGCCGCCCGCAGTGGCTGCAGGGCAATCGCTCTGTATCTCGCGCCGCGTCCTCGACGGCCTCCGGTGCATCTTCCGCTGGCGGTGAGGTGTGCACGGCGGTGGAAGCGGCAGCCTGCGGCGCGGGCTGTGCGCGCGCAGGACTCGTGGTGGTCTTCGGGACCTTCTGCGAATCACCATCGTTGTTTCGGGAAGAGGAAGGACTTGGTGCCTTCCTTGGGGAGGCGGAAAAGCGTGCCACTGCATCAGGCGGTAACGTGGAGTTAGCAGCGCTGGGCGGGCCACCGTCCGCTGTCGCCGGCACCTCCACCGTCTCCAGTCGCGAACCGCAGTCCTCGCAGAAGGTCGCCGCCATGTCCGCCACCGGTGTTTTGCACGTCGGACAGAACTTCGTTGCGGCGCCGCTCTGCCGTGACGACGCCGTGGGTGCTGTGGCTTCTCCTTTACGAACGGGGGAAGCGGTGGGACGTGCCTTCGCTGCCTTCTGTGGTGTGGGGGCGATGTCCGTGTCGCCCAAGGCGGCACCGCAGTTGTCGCAGAAGTTGCCGTCCGCATCGCACACCGCCTTGCAGGCCGGGCACACCACCACGCGCACTGTCGAGACGTTCTCGTTCGTCCCTCCGGGCGTGCGCTCCTCCGCGGAGGCTCCGTTCACCGGCTGCCCGCACGTGCCGCAGAACCGCGAACCCTGGGGAATGCGCTCCCCGCAGTGCACACACGGCACCGGCAGCCGCGACGCATCCAACGTGCCGCCGCACTCGCGGCAGAACTTCGCGTCTCCGTCGTACTCCACCGCGTCGCACTGCGGACACGCGCGGCCCTCCATCGGCACCGGCGAGGTACGGGAGAGGCGGTTGCGCTTCGGGTCGAGGCGGTCCTCGTTCACCTGCGTCGGCACGGCATCTGCCGCCGGCTGTGCAACTTCGCTCACAGTGCCAACGTCGTCGTTGGCTTCCTCAGCACCCGCTATTCTCTTCTCGGTGCGCGCACGTGTGGGGCTGAGGTCGGCAGCCGCTGCGGCTGTGGGGGGACTGCGCGTGGGCAGCGGCTTGGCGGTGCTGCCCGGGCGGCACGAGCGCAGGTGCACCGCGAGGCGGTCCGGCAGGAACTTGCGGCCGCAGTTCGGGCAGGGAGAGAGGTTGCTCATGAACTCGCGGAATTGCTCGGTGGCCTGCTCCTTGGCTGTCGAGTCGGGGCGGCCACGCCAGTTCACCGAGTCGGGGTTCTTTGGCGGCTGCCCACGCGTGCGGGGGTCGGCGTTCTTCCACTGCGCTAGCTTCTTCTCGTAGCACTGCGGCACGTGGATGCGGATGGATGCGGTGCCGAACTGCTGGCCGCAGAGGTAACAGGTTGGGAGCAGCGGCGGACCAGAGGACAGGGAGCGGCGGGCTGAGCTCGGACTGCGCGCCGTGTTCTTCGCCGCCTCGCGTGTGGTAGTGGTGGACGCGGTCGGCTTCCCGTTGCGGGCAGCGGGAGACGATGCCCCGCCACCGCCACCGCCTTTGCATCCGCGCAGGTGCACCGGCAGGCGATCGGGCAGAAATGTTCGACCGCAGTTCGGGCAGGGGACGAGGTTCGAGTTGAACGTCTCGTACTGCTCCCCGTTGACCTGATCAGCGGACGCGCCGGTGCCGCCCTTCCAGTTGACCGTGTCGGGGTGCCGCGGCTTCGGTCCGCGGATGCCGGAGTCGCTCTTCTCCCACTGGCTCAGCTTCTTTTGGTAGCACTGCGGGATGTGGATGCCGATGGAGGCGCTGCCGAACTGCTGGCCGCACAGGTAGCACACTCGGAAGACGGGGCGGTGGATGCCGGCCTTGGCCGACTTCGCAGCGGGAGGAAACATCGACAAAAGATGCGCCGCCAGTTGGGGAGCAGACAAAACAAAAAATAGGGCGTCAAAAGTAATGATTATCCAGTGTATGTTACATCAAAAAAAAACAATAGCAGTTCGTATAGAAGGAGGCTCGTAAAAGGTACGCGGTAGCAACACGAAGATATATATAAAAGAAAAGGTGCTACGTGGCCGCTGCTCGTTTCTACAGCGATCTAAAGCGGAACTCGAAGAAAAACGAAGAAGGCGAGGATGGACAGATGTTCTCGGAAAGCGCGCGGCTGATTGGCCAATGAAATGCGATGCGAAGTGAAACGCCAAAGCTTGAAAGGTTGTTCATGAAAAAAGATTTAAAAAAGAATGCAGCTACGTGAGGCACTTCTTGTCCTTTTGTCAGCCGATGGCGGCGAGAAGCCTCTTACTCCTCCGCCCGCTGCTCTCCCACCACTGTTCAAAAGGAAAACACAGCGAGGCGTACCAGAGCACAAAGCCCTCTCCGAGCCATCTCGGACTGCCCCCTTTAAGGCGAGAGAAGGTGCGAGTGTGTCGCCGAGTTGAAACCTATCTTCCTGCCACGGAGTCTGCGGTCCACACTCGCCTGAAACAAAACCGATTTTGATCCTTCTTTCCTTGTTTGCTTTGTTCCATCAACATGCACTACCACGCTACGAGTATTCTACAGTGCTAATCCTACACTTCTAAGAGAAAGTACTCCCACCACCAACCAACACACAACGGCAACTGCCCAACAGGGCAAAGGAATATATATATAATAGGATGTGCTGTGACTCGAAGAAGCGGAGCACTTCACCTTGGCGGACAGAAGAGAAAAAAAGGCAAGAGTACATCAGCATCACGATATGAAACTCCCCCACGAATGGCGAATGACGTTGCTGCACGACAGCTCCGTTGGCGCAAGTTCGACCTGCGAGCACCGCGACCAGTGTGAAGAGCAGAAACAGAAACAAGAAAAGAAAAATAAGCGCTAAAGAAGGTCGCCGTTTTGGTTGTGGCGCGTCGCCCGATATCTTACCCTCCCCATTTTATTGGATCGCGGTAGGTCCAGGATTCTTGACGCCCGAGGGGTACTTGGCACCTTCCAACGGACGAGCACGGAACTGTTGGCCAGGGTAGATTTCCTGGGCGAGCGCTTCGAGGCCGTCTGTGCGTCCAAAGCCCGGTTCAGCCTTCGCACGGTGAATACCGAACTTCTTCGCGCTCTCTTCCTCCGCGGCAAAGGCGGCCTTGTCGGCGGCTTCGAGCTGCTTGAATTGCACGTCCAGCTCGTGCAGCGGGGCGAGCTTGCGGGTGCCGCGCTCCACTTCGGAAGCTTGGCGGATGCTATGGGGGGTGTAGGCAAGGCGGTCCCAGCTGGCCAGGCGGTCAAAGAGGGTGCTCCGGCGGTTCACCTGGTCTAATTCAAAGGTCAGAATGTAGTTGTCGTCAAACCACGGGTTTGGCACCGTCCACGGCGCTAACTTGCCGAAGAAGCGACCGAAGCCGCGATAGCAAGGCACCACGAGACGCCTCTCGAAGTGGCGCGCGATCTCGCGGAACGCCTCGACGTGGCTGAGCGTCTCCGGACCACCGAGGTCGAACTTGTAGCGCACAGCGCGGTGCGACATGGAGCTGCGCACAACGGCGCGCGCCGCGTCCACCACCCACGTCGGCTGCACCAGCGTACTCGGGAAGCAGGCGGGGTACACGTAGCGGCCCAGACCGCGGTAACGGTAGTGCTTGCCGTACAAGGGGCCGAAGCGTATAATGGTGGCGTCTGGGTGGTTGGCACCCACCGCGTCCTCGCCACGCGCGCGGAAGTCGACGTAGTTCGACTCGGAGGCGAAGGTAGCGTCGAGGCCGTTGCAGAAAATAACCCGCTCCGCCCGCACACTGCGCGCCGTCCAGCTCACGTTTGTCGCGCCAATGAGAAACACGTCGTGGTGGCTGTTGTTGGCGTACTCGGCGTGGTAGTCGACGGCGAAGATGAGCGTGTCGCTGCCGTTGGAGGCCACATTGACTTGGATGCGGTCCGTCACATCGCACTCGTGCAGCTCCAACTTGTCCGGGTAGGCGCGCAGCAGCAGATCTAAGTCGGAGCCTTGCGGGATCAGCGTCGGGTAGCGGGTGGTGGCGCGCACCTGCTCGATGTCAGGGTGCTCGCATAGCTCCCGCACGATCTCCGCGCCGAGGTAGCCGCTGGCGCCGAAGACGGTGACGCGCTTCGCCGGTTTGGGGTTGAGGCGGCGCCGCTCGTGCGGCAGACGGACGGCTGGGTTCGGCACCAGCATGGCTGCCCAATAGGGGCCGCGCTCGTAGCCGAAGCCACCGCCGGTCGTCTTGGGCTTCTGCGTGGGGTACATTTGAGCCAAATCCTTGCGGTCTAGAAACATGGACTCCGGCTGGTGCCCGTAGGGGTCCCAGAAGGCGCGCACGTGTGCCACCGCCGCGAGGGCGCTCGTGCTCTTGGAAGTGAAGCGCTGCATTGCTAAAGGAAGTTTTGCTTTTGGGCGTTGTTGATGCGTTAGAGTGGACTGGTGATGTCCGCAGCGACAATAAAAAATATATATAATTCAGTGGTAGCGCACGGGTGCGGCGGGGGCTACAAAAATACGAGAGCTGCCTCAAAAGTTCTCACAGGAAAATTAAGGCAAAGAGAGTGCGGTGTTCTGCACTTGCGTCAGAGAGGCCACCACCTCTGTGGGCTACCCTTGCCTTGGGCGGTTGTGGACTACGCTACCTACGGAGCTGCAGAACCCAACGAAGAGAAGGATGCACGGTTACGCCAGGTGTGTGAAGAGGAAGGCACAACCAGAGGAAGAGACGAAGAAGGCGTTTGCGAGGACGGTGGAGGATCGACATGGGAAGCACAAAGGCGCACGAGACAGGCTGCAGCAACACAATCAGCAAACGTGTGGGGAGGGGGGGGGCACTCAACCACCGCTGCCGCGGCGCTTTTCGTCCGTCCACGCTCAACACCGCAATCCAGCCAGCGACCTTTCGAAATCGAAGAGATTGCTGACAACCGATGACGCATAAAACAGATGTCACAGCAGCGACACAATAAGACTGCACGCGTCGTCAAAAACAAAACACAAAGCCCTCAGGACGAAAGAAAAGCACGTCGACACATCAAATGGTCGCAGTGGTGCACGCACCACGCATGAAAAGAACCGGCACATATTTGCTACTTCTCTATCGTTCTTTTGGCTCCAACGGTAAATCCATATATCTGTTTTTTTTTTATAAATAACATTTTACCTTCGTCAACTTCCAATACAGTTTTTTCCGTTTTCGGCATTCTACAGAATAATACTTTGTTGTTTGGTTGCTTGCTTTTGCTTTCACTCGTTCTCAAACGCGATGAACCAGTCCGCGGCTACCAGCACCTTCGGTTGACGCACAATGACGGTCGCGCCGACTTGCTCAAAATCGAGCTCTGTGGCCATGTCGATGGCGTTATGGGCCGTCGTCAGCACCACCTTACTCACCTTCCCCGAGTAGCCGTAGACTACGACGCGCTCCACTGCGTTGGCCACCGCAAAAACGCCGTTCGACGCAGGCGTATCGGTGGTGAAGCTGCTGCTCGTCAATGTCGACTCGCTGAAGGAGAAGGTACGGTGTACAAAGGAGCCCTTGGCGTACTCGAAGGTGGTTCCGTCATCGCAGTAAAGGTCACCGTAGCTGTTGCCCTGTGCGTTCAATGCGACGAAGAGTGTGAAGGGGTCCAGACGCGCAGCGTACGTACTGCGCCGCAGTCGCAGCTTCATCGGCACCACGTGACCGCCACGGAGAAACATCGGGATCGTGTTGAGGTCCACCGGCATCGTGTACGTGCCCCCCGTCGCCATCTCGCCCGTGAAGTAGTTGTACCAGAGTGTGCCGGCAGGCAGCGGCACCGTCACCTCCGTTGCCCCCTTCTGCGCAACCGGCTGCACGAGGATGGCACGACCGAAGAGGTAGGTGTTCTGCACCTCGCGCAGTTTCTCCTGCTCGGGGAACTCAAAAAACAGCGGCCGCATGATGGTGTTGCCTTTGGTGTGGGCGTGGTAGAAGTTGGTGTAGAGGTAGGGAATGAGGGCGTAGCGGAGCGCCAGTGCGTTCCGGATAATGGGCTGCGACGCCGGCGAGTAGCTCCACGGCTCCCGTCGCTTCGTGTCGAGGTGGGCGTGGCCGCGGAAAAACGGCATGAAGGCCCCCGCCTGCATCCACCGCACAAAGAGTTCCTCCTCCGTGTCAAAGAAGAAGCCACCGACGTCGCAGCCGCAGAAGGGGAAGTTCGAGATCGACAGGGAGAGCAGCTCTGGCACGCTGTTCTCCAGGTGGTCCCAGCGGGCCATGTTGTCCCCCGTCCACATCGCCGCGTAGCGCTGCGAGCCGGGGAAGAAGCTGCGGGTGAGGATAAACGGCCGCTCCGGAGTCGCCTTCGCGCCACCCGCCTCCACCATCCCTTTGTACACCGCCTGAATGGAGTAGAAGCTGTAGGCGTTGTGGATCGTGCCGTGCGAGACGGTGTGTCCGTCGTCGAGGGTGTGCATCGCGTTCTTAAACATTGTGCCCTTATCGCCGTTGAAGATGGAGGGCTCGTTCATGTCCACCCAGGTGTGGATGTCGCGGCCGCCGCCCGGGTAGCGATCGTCGTGGAAGAACTCCGCGTACCAGTTCCGCGTGCGTGTGTTTAAGAAGTCCGGCCACGAGCTGCGGCCCGGCCAGCACTCCCCCTCATAATCGTTTCCGTTGGCGTCCTTCACGTAGTAGCCGCCTTTGCTGGCCTCTTCGTGCATCGCGAACCCGCCCTCTCGCTTCACGTGCGGGTCCTTCACGGTGACCAGCTTGCGCCCTTTAGAGGCCAGCGCGGTGGTCAGCACCTTCGGATCAGGAAAGGTATACTTGTCCCAGGTGAAGTACTTCTTCTTGTCGGTGTGCTCGATGTCCAGCCACAGCACGTCGTACGGCATGTTGTGCTGGTCAAAGCCCTCGTCCACGGAGAGGCAGTCCTTGGTGTTCATGTAGTTCCAGCGGCACTGATGGTAGCCCAGGCTGAAGTACGGAGGCATGACGGTCGCGCCGGTCAGCGAGGCGTGCTGGCGCTGCACCTTCGCCGGTGTGGGTCCTGGTAAGAAGAAGAGGTCAACGACACCCACCTCCGGCTGCCACCGACACGACGGCGCCGCATCTTCGCTGTTGATGCGCACGCTTGTCTCGGACGGATTCAGAAAGAGCACCCCGCTCGTCGCAGCGGCGGAGTAGGCCATAATGAACGGAATCGCGCCGTAGAGGGCCTTGGTGCTATTGATGGGGTATTGAAACGCATCCGTGTTGTACATCTCGTAGACGGCGTCCCCACGCAGGGGCAAGTCGGCGGCGTGCTCGGCCAGGCCGTACATCGTCCGCGCAGCGGGGAACGTGAAGTTCACTTCGGGCAGGGCCTCGACGTTGTCGGAGGCCGTCGCCTTAACGAGCGGTTTGCCCTGACAGCTGAATTGAAAAGACAGCTGCGGGGAGGCTGAGGTGACGGTGAGGGCGCAGTCGCCGTTGTGGAGCGTCCACTTGTTGCCCTCCTTCGCGGCCTCCACCTGTAACTCCGACGCCGCCGGGAGAATGATGCCGTCCGGTTGGTACTGCCACTTCTCCGTGGACTTCACAGTGAGTCGGATGATGCCCTTCGGGTAGGCAAAGCCGTCAACGCCCATGCCGCTCTTCGTTGTTGTGACGCGCGTGCCGAGGGCCACCGGGGTCACCGTTGCCACCAGCATCAGCGCGACCACTGCGAGGAGAGCACCGCAACGCCCCGCTGTCGAGAACATGTTTGTTGGGTAGCCGCTTCCGAGTTCGCGCCTTTCACTGAGGTTTAAAAATAAACTAAAAAAGGATGTAGTAACGGTAGTGTTCGTCTAACACTTCAAGATTGGCCAAAGGAGCTGGAGTCCAGCAGAGACGCACAAGAAAGGGGATTGCATTCGCGAGGAACAGACGTGGGTTGCATCGCATGTTCTCAGCCTCACGCCATCAGGCACCGGAGGGAAAGAAAAGCACAATCCCATTCGCCGGCACCGGCCGCAGTCGAGGTCTCAGAGTCCTCAGCGAAGCCTGGGTGAAAGCTCCGTTTACCTTCGTTTTGTTAACGACATTTGTGAAGAGCCGAAAGCACACAAGCGACCCAAAAGCAGAAGGAAGAATCGTGCGAAGAGCAGCCGCCAACGCGGAAGACGCACCCCGGTGAGCAGCAGCAGGGAACAGAAAGAGCGCGCAACGACAGTTTGGCACGACGTTCGATCCTTCGTCGCAGTTGGTCACTGCAAGTCTGCAATATCAACGTAGGGGAGACCTGCGTTTCCCGCAAAATCGCGGTGCATCGTGTGAAGGAAGGCGCTGCCCCTCGCACCGCAGCCCACAATCGATGCTGCTTTCGCGTCCGGCTGCAGGGAAACGTTCATCTCGCCCACAAAGAACTGCAGCAGACCGGCCTGTGGGACAACAAAAGAGAGCTCCATCCCCTGTCGACGTGTGGCGGTGACGCACGACATGGCAGACAGCACCACAGTGACAGTGAGGTGGGAGCCGCACTCGCGCCACAGCCGCACCACCGGCGCCAGTGTCTTCTCAACGGTGAAAAGGCTTGCGTGGTGCAGAACGGGGTAGTGCTCCAGCCACACAATTCGGTAGCCGCGATCCGCGTAGCTGTTCATATCTTGTAGCACTTTATCCTTCAAAAGAAACTCCACCTCGTCAGAAGGAATCGGCGATGGCGAGGCGGCGTCCTCCGCTGCGTTCGCTGCTGTCTCGGTGCTCAGTTCTTCTTTTCGCGCCTGCGCTGCCCACGCGAGCGGGCGACGTAGCAAAACGTCCTCGATGAAGTAGAAACGAACCTGCCGAGAGCCGTCGCTGTACTTACTGGCCTCGGAGCGCTCCTCCGACGACGACCCGCGAAACACGCGGGAGAGGATGCGGCGATTCGACCGGGCCCACCGCACTCCACCCGCCCCCAACGACTCCGCCTCGGCAGGTACAACGAAGTGTAGCGGTGGTTGCGAGGAGCGGTGGCGGATGTTCGACAGGGTCGACGAGAGAATGTGTAGCGAGCGCGGGTTCAGCGGATGGCCCTGCAACTGGACAGCAGCAGCAAAGCGCCGCTGCAGATCCTCGGTGCTGCGCTGCAGCAATGAGATGCGCCGCTGCTTGCCGCGTACAGTGTCAGCCAGGGAAGAGGCGTCTACGCTGCCCTCCCGTCGTCGTTCGCTCGGCTGTGCTTCGCACCGGCGACGGTGCTACGCGACGACGACCGCAGCTGTTCCTTTTCCGCGCTGCAGTGCAGCACCTGTGTCGGGGGGTGGAGCAGCTTCACGCCCTTGCGATCCCACCGCACGAAGACGGTGCAGCCACGGGGTGTGGCGGAGGGGTCGATGTGCACCGAGGTGTGCTCGCACGACAGGGCGTCGGCCACCTGCAGTTTCACGCAGATGCTGCGCTTATCGAAGGAAAGGGAGTTGGTGGAGCCGTCCCACAGCGCCATGGCGGTATTGGCGCCGACCGTGACGAGGGTGTGCGGACCGGCACGACGGGGCAGAGCCGCCTCCAAGGGAAGCCAAAGGTCGCGGTGATGGACGTTGTGCACGCGTGCGAACTCCACCAGCGTGCAGTCCTTATCACAGGTAAGGAAATGCATGAGAACAACAGTGGAGGCGTGTGACTCCTTCCAATAATCAAAGGGCGTGGATGAGGCCACGCGAGAGCCACTCGTTGGGGCACACCGAGTCAGAGGGACAAAAATGTACGCCCTTTTGAGAAGAGCTGCGGCCAGGAAAGGCGAGGGAGCGAGAGAGAGGGGGGGGGGCGAGAATCAACTAATAGACAGCCAACTCGTGGAACACCAACAACGATGGGGTGGAGAAATACCAAAAAACACTTACGGACCATGCCGCATCTGTTTTGCACACCCAAATGACGAAGGCCGTGTTTGGCCTTCCCGCTATGACCACCCCGAGTTAGGCGGACACGGAATAGACATATACGTGTGCCTGGCACTTTTGTTGGTGTGTATAGGAGAACAGAAACCAGGAGAGCGGCGCTGCAGACTCCTCACGTTGCTCACACACACACACGCGTCGCGAACCACAAGGATAGCCACACTCACGAACTACACCACGTACCAGCCGCGATCGCGCAACCGCGACTGCACCGTTGCGCCCTCTGCGCCGTCGTCGCCGCTGTCCGTCTCGCTGATGGAGCGGGGCGTCATCATGACCATGACGAAGCCGACGCCGCCGATGTCGGAGTGGAAGACGGACACCTCGCCCACCGCTGGACGGCCGCTCACGACGGTGCACCGCGCATCGCCACCGCTGTCTCGCACGGTCGCCGCCGCCGCCTCCGTTGTGGTGGCTTCCGACGTCGGCGTGGTGGACGAAAAGTCGATGTCAAATCCACACTCGCCTCTGTTCGTCTCGTAGCGGATCGTCGGCAGAGTTTGGCGCACGTCACCGATGGCGTCCATTGCGGCGTCGCCTTTCACGAGCAGTGGCACCGCAAAGCCGTTGGGCGGAATCTCTGGCGGCGGAAACCGCGACCACCGCGGCGCTCGCAGGGCATCATACGAAGGAGCGTCCTGCGAGTCACCATCGATGGAGACGTTATCGTCGTAGAAGGATTCACAAAAGTACAACGGCGTCGTCCCACAGTTGACGAGCACGAAGGGTGTGGTGGAGGTCGAGGGACGCTTGTCGGGGTCCTGCAGCTTTGCCGCAATGGAGCGCAGCTGAGACTGCATGTGGTCCGTGCTGTGCGTGTCCGCCACAACCGGCATCTGCAGCCCGTTCCAGCCGCCCAGTCCACCGTCACTTCCGTTTTGGCGGGCGCTTTGGAGAGCCGCGAAGCCCGATTTGAACTGCCGTTCGTCGAATTGCTCCTGCTGCAGCTGCGTGCTGCCCGCGGTGAAGAGACCGAGAAACGTCAGCGTGGCCGCGCCGACGTCGGTGCGCGTCAGCTCCAGACGGACGCTCCCGGTGCGGTGTTTGTCGGTCGCGGTGTCGGGCAGTGCCACCGGAACCATCAGCCGGTACGGCGTGCTGCCCTGCGACTCCCAGTCCACGCCGTGCAGCCGGCACATCCGACGCACGTCTTCGAGGTCGCGGCACGTCTCCGCCGCAATCGTGCACAGCCGCCCGTACGCCTCGGTGGGCGGCTCGGTCGACGCGGCGCGTCGCTCCACCAGGTTCGGCTGCACACACATCTGCACGTCCCCGTCAGGCGTGCTGGAGAGCAGCAGCAGCACGAGCAGGTCACGCGGCGCGGCGGGCGGCAGCTTGACGCGGAAGGCCACCACCGCCCCCATGTCCGTCTCTGACTCGCCGAGCAGGCCCGCGACGGACGCCATGCCGGCCTTCGTCAACGGTGGTGGCATAAAGTCAAAGAAGCAGCCGTAGAGCTGCACACTCAACAGCTCAATCTGCGGCTCGTAGAGCGCGATGTCCGTCAAGAGACAATTCTTCAAGCCCACCGCCATGTATGGGGTAGAGGTGAGGTAGGAGTGAAGCGAGTTGCGCACGGCGGCGACGGTCGAATCGCAGCTTTTCAGCGCCACTGTGACACCTGGTGACCCGCTGTGCTGCTGCGGACTCCACGTGGCCGGCGTGGGTTCGGCGGGAATGGCGGCCAGCACCGGCAGCAGGTTCGCTGCGTAGTCGCCGTGGCCGGAGATGAGAGGCGTGACGTCGATGTTCTCCACGCCCGGCACGTTCACCGGGTTGATACCGGCCATGGGCTTCAGGTCCGTCTTGTTGAGGCGGTACATCGTCCACAGCATCCAGTCCTGACGGGTGTAGACGTTGATGAGGCGGCCGGCCACGACACGCCGCAGCAGCCACCACAGTTCGGGGTCGGAGCTGCAGGTGCTGCCCAGCAAGTAGGCGTTTTCCACTATGTGGTACGCCCGCACCTTCTCGAGCTCCCGCAGACACTCCACGATCACACGCGCACCGAAGCTGAAGCCGACCAGCGTCACGGGTCGGTTGCCGCGCTGCGGGTCCAGCAGCACAGCCGCCAGGTCCTTCCCCGCGTACGTCGATCGGTTGGAAAGCGTCGCGAAGTTGTTGTCGATGATGTCGGTGGCCCAGACGGCGTAGAGGGGCAGCTCGAAGGCCCCCATGAAGGAGGCGAAGGCGTGCATACCGGTGAAGAGGGCCCCCTGTGTCAGCGCCTTCTTCACTGTCTTCTTCACCTTGCCAATGGCCTTCTTCGTGACGGTGTCGGCGACGTGCAGGTTCACGTGAATGGACTCGCCGAACCGCATGAGGTACTCGTCTTCCCAGTGCAGACAGTACGCCTCCGTGGGGCCCAGCAGCTCACTGCGGCGCAGCACCGGCTGCCAGAGACCAACTTGCTGATCTCGCACCGGCCGACGTGGGTCGAAGACGGCGGAGTAGCCGCTGATACCGATGGACAAGGTGGTCTTCTCGCTCTCCAGCAGTGATGCTCCACTGGGCCTCTCCACGAAGTCCTGAACGATGACCTGCAGCGTGTACTGCGAGGGGTCAATGATGCAGATCGCAGTGAGAAAAAGGCCAGCGGGCAGCTCCACGTTAAACTGCAGACTGCTGGGAGCCGCCGGCTTCATCGGCTGCGTTTTTATCTCTCCTATGTTGTACGCGGAGGCGAAGGCGACGTTGATGTTGTTGAGCGAACTCACCTCAAACTGCACCCGCACGTAGTACTTGGGGGTGACGGGCTCCCGGTAGTTGTTCACCACCTCCAGAATGTAGTACCCCTCTGCCCCCTCGAGACTCCAGCCGCTGTTCGTGAAGTACGTGAGAGACGCCTCGGCAGGGTGGACCGTCATGGGCGACGCCGTCTGCGACCACTGTTCGCCGTTTACCATCGCAAAGTCACGCACTTGTACGGTGTGGATGGAACGGTTCACGACGGACACGCCAAGTTTGCGGCGTTGCTTCACGTCGTGGCCGTACTCGATCTGTCGCTGTGGCAGCTCAATCGCCGGAAACGTGATGAGTCGCCCCTGCGCCTTCGCCGCTGCCGTCGCCGGGTACAGCTTCAAGTACGTGAACGGGGTCACGTGCACCTCCAGTGCAACCCCCTGCTGGCGGCGTGTCACGCCGGTGGAGGAGAGGTGCTCGTCCATCCAGTACTCCGCGGCGGATGGGTCGAAGTCTTGCTCCGCCGTCTCGCACGCCGCAGACAGGGCCCAGGCGCCGAGGAAGTCCCTCTCTGCACGCACCCAAATCCGCAGCGCCGCCGCCGCCTTGGCGGTCCGCACCGGGATCGCGATGTAGCACACGATGAAGCCGGCGCCGGTGGGGTGAGCGAAGCGGTTGACGCAGGCGAAGACGCCTGCCTGCCCCGGTGCGATCTGTGCAGGAGGGGTCATGGCCCACAGGCCCGACAGAACTTTAATGGCTTTCAGTCGGAGTTCGAACCCCTCCAGGTTGTTCTGCACCGCAAAGACAACGTGGCGGCGGCGGCGGCGGATGGAGGAGATGTTGTTCGCGTGTGCCATGGCGACGACGCGGGTGTGCGCCGGTACAACGACGCCGGGCCGTGAGTTGTCTTCGACCACGGCGGACAGGTCCCAGGAACTCCCCACCGAGCCGCCGCTCTGCACCGCCTGGTTCGACGAGGCCAGTCGCTTCACCATGTCGTCGCTGCGATCTTCGCAGCCGTCATCACCTCCACCGGAAGCCCCGTCGTCACCGCCGCCCGCCGAGCCGGCACCGCTTTGAAAGGCCTCCACCTCGTCGACGGAGCGCAGCATGAAAACGTCCGACTCGGTGGTGCGGCGGAAGGCCTTGTAGCCGCTCAGCGACGCACCGGTGATGCCGAAGATGGCCGTCAAGTTCGCCGCCGTCAGTGCGGGCGTGACGACCGCCGCGAGCGCCGCCGCGTGGGTCGCGACGCCGACAACCGCCGCAAAGGCGGCGGCCAGCGCTCCGGTTCCCAACACCGCGCCGCCCACCGCACCGATGGCGCCGAGGGTGGTGGCCGTCGCGGCAACGAGGGCGGCGTAGGCTGATCCCACAAGCGGGGCGGCGAGCCCGCCGGTGACGACGAGGGCGGCGCCGCCCAACACGGCAAAGCCGCCGATCGTGGCGATGCGCGACAAGCTGCGCTTCCGCTCCTCCTTGCTCCTACGCACCTGCTCCTGCTTAGCGGTGTCCGCGGCGAGATCGCTGCCGGCATTTGCGCCGACGGAGGTGCGGAGCTGCGCGAGAGCGTTTTCTTTCAGCTCCACGAGGGAGAACGGGACGGCGAGAATCCACGAGAGACGCCTCGCCGCCGCACGCAGCCGTGCGTCGTAGGCACCGAGGCGGAGGGCAAGGTTGAAAGGCAGGTTCACCACCAAGAGGTCCAAAGAAGGGTTTAGCACACCACAGATGGCTTTGACGTCCTTCTCTGTCCAGCGCTTGTCACGCAAATCGCGCAGGGAGTACGGAGGAGGGAGAAGGGTGCCATCAAGAATGTTTCGCAGATTCGCATCATCCACCACAGCGTAAAACAGGGAGCGGATGGCGACGCGGTCCTCAAAGGTCATCACGTCCGCATCGCCGTGCTCTGCCGTCTCCTCGCGCCGACGCAGCGCCGTCAGCTCGTCGCTCGTGCGCTCGGGGCGCTGTCGCGTCCAGATGTACTGGTAGCTGCGGAAAAAGGAGTACCGCTCGCCGGTGGCCGGTGTTGTCGTGGCTGAGGCGCTCATTTGGAGTTGAGAAGCCTTTTGAGAAACTCGCGAGTTGATCGTGTACGAGAAAATATACAAACGGAAAAAAAAAGAGCAAGACTAAAGCTAAAGTAAATGGGAAACGTGAGACAGCAAGCAGAGCAGCGTAAACCCCATGAAAGCACACGACGATACCGGCGCGTGACAGAGTCCACTAAAAAACAAGAGAGCGCAAAGGTGGAAGACAAACGGTGTGCATGTGTATATATTTGATAGCCAAGAAAGAGGCCGTGATGAACGTAAACGGGCAAAGTCGTTTAAAAAAGAAAAACAAAACGAAGGTGAACTGCGTCAGCCCCCCACCAAATAAAAGAAGCCACACTCAGAAGACCGAGTGTACCGCCTTCGTGGCTGCACAAGAAGAAACGTATGTGTGTGCGTGTGTATGTGTTGGAAGACGGGACGGTATATGAGTGGTATACAGCAGTGCGGATAGAATAAAATGATAGCGAAAGGAGAGGAAAACTCCTGATATACACGGTTTGATCTTGATTACGAATGAGAGTTCAGAAAAAAACAAGAAAAAGATAGATTTGCGACAATGAAAAGTTTGGCATCATTTTAAATTATTTTGATTTCTCCGCCAAAAACACGTTGAGCGCCTCGTTGGGGTCCAAAAGCTGCGATCATGGCGAGAACGTCGCTGCTGGTATTCTCGCAACACGAAACACGCACAGTGTCTCGTCTCAGCGTGCGCAGTCCTTGATCCTTTCTCTTAGAAGCTGTCGTGCTTTGTCAAATATCTCTAGTCCTTGCCGGAGGAAGCCAACGCATTTAAAAACACGAAAGAAGCACAACGATACCAAGGCACAAGCCCGTCTCGCGTGCATGGGCAGCTGTGCTGCCATGAAGGCACGAGGCAAGCCCGTCAGCGAGCCATCCGCCGTCGTGCCGACCATCTCGTCAACGTCCCTCCACACATCATCAAACCATCACGGCTTGTTTTCCTTCCACAACTGTATAAAGGTCTCGTAGTCGAAGCAGCCCTCACTCACAAACTCCCACACTTGATCTGAGATGTCGAGGTGTCGCTTTTGCAAGAGCGCGCCCACCTCCTCAACGCTGTCGAGGTCGGGGCACTGCTGCAGCACGTACGCGTCCATTTCCTTCTCCACTGCCTGCAGCACAGTCTGAAAGTGCGTGTGCTGCTCATGCTCGTCGGAGGTGCGGTGGAACGGCGGAACCATGTCCCACACGCGCTCGCTGTCGAAGGAAATCATGAAATCTTCAATGACACCCACGACGGTGTCGAGGGCGACGTCCTCCGGCGAGCCGCCGTCACCGCAGATAATAAAGTCGCCGTCCTCCGTGTCCATTGCGCACCGCGACGAGGGCACACCTGAAAGAAAAGGCGCAAAAAGAGCGGCAGCGCAGATACGAAGCAGCGGTGTGTGCCCGCGAAGCGTCGCCACGAAGTCCCGTGTTGCGCAATACCTCTTTGTTGTCTTTGCGCGTACCAGCAGGTGATATTTGCATAAAAGAACGAAAGACGAAGAGCGTGTGGTGCGGTTGAAGTAATCGAAGTGAGAGAGAGAAAAGGAAAGGGTGAAGCACAATTATACAAAGGGGCGGGCAACACGCATCTCACAATGATGGGCTTCCACTCTCCTCGTTGCGATCACTTCCCTGCGTGGGTGATGAGCTGCGGTTTACTGGGCTGCGGAACAGTTCCATTTGCGGTGATGGACGTGGAGAAGACCATTGCTGCAGTTCCTATTATTTTTGCAGTCTCCGGGGTTCTTTGTTTTGCTGTTTGCTCCTCGAGGTTACGGTTAAAGCTGCTTGTCAACGTCGGTCTACAAAGCCGGAAAAAGGAAAACAAAAAAAAGGGAAGATGCGCAGGCACGCGCCTTCCCAGCTACCAACTCCAACACCCCACACTCGCCGCCGTCTCTCTATGCGCGCACTCGTTGCATCCTTCGAGGGTCTGCAACAAGTTGCGCCGGCCGTCGTAGCTGCATCAGCGGCGCCACCAACGCTAAGAAGCGGGGGTGCCCAACGCAGAACATACGGGGCGAAAAGAAAAAGCAAAGCTCGTCTACAAGCTGCTCTGCCGCTATGGTGGGTGCGAGTACCTTTTCGAAGAAGCAGAAATGGGATGAACCACACAGAAAGAGTTCAAACACGCAAGCACTCAACACGATCATTAATATCAAAGCCGTTAAGGTGGAATCTGCGCAGTTCATCGAGGAAGCGAGCACGAAAGCAATAGTCTACGGAGAGGACCTCCTCCATAATCACGGTGGGAGCCGCCCAGTGCGTACGAGCACGCGTACACCCGTCACTCTCCATCACGCTCCACAACATGAAAGGAAGAAGAAAATAAAAAGGCTGAGAGAATTAGTTATCAGCGGAAGGTGTTGCCGCCACTTACGACTAAAAAAGAAAACAGGGAAACGTAAAAACAACGAATTAAATAATAATACGCCTCCACTGCGCAGGCGTTAGAACTGGCTCATCGTCGACACTCCGCCAGCAAAGAGAGAGAGAACAAAAAAAAGGAACAACAACAGAAAGAGTACGATGCGCCACCGACGCAGATAAATACACCCGGAAGGGGGGGGGGGTAAAGTGAGCTGCTGAGGGAAAGCGACAACTCACAAGTGAAAATGAAAGGGAATGCATTGAGCGCCGACAAATTAAATTACCTTTTCACAGCCTTCAAACAAAAATAAGGAGTAAAAGCCTCATCCGTGTGTTTTTCAGCTGCCACTCCGGCAAACTTTGCGATAAGAAGCTCCCTCCCTCGATACACAGAGAGAAAAGGCCGATGCGACGGGAATAGTTCTGTGGATCACTCGATAACAACGCGCTTATCTTCCCCACGCATTGTGCTGGTCTTGTGCGCCTTCGTAGCCGGCGTTGACGACGCCGCGGGAGGAGTAAAGGTCGGCACCTCCACCTCCGTCTTGGAAGCAGGTGAGAGACGCACCGGCTTCTGACGACGCCGCGCACGCAGCTCGTTCAGCTTTCGTTCCGTGGAGGCAATATCTTGCTGCGTAATGCGTATAAATCGGCTCGTGCGCGACACCACGGCGGTGTAATCGGGCTGAAAGGGTGTGTCCGACATCAACACCTCGTCGCCGAGGTCCGAAAAGGAGCGTAACTCCGTCGTGATCTTCTCTTGGCCGACACTCACTGCCACACCGCCGCTGAGCAGCAACGTGAAGGCGGTGGAAGGCTGCCCAGCGCGGTACAGAACACGCGCCGGCTCGATCGTGTTGATGTCGCGCTGCATCGCCGTGGTAAGGGCCGCTGAACTGCGGTTTTGTTGTTCGTCGCCCTCCGCCTTTTTTTCCTCGACGTACACGATGCAGTCGCCGATTTGATCCAGCAGAAACTTCACGTGTGGGACGCTCCACGTGGCGAAGAAGACGTAGGCACGGGTGAGGTACGAGGCAAGAGCCCAGAGTTGGTCGTCGAGAAGGCGGTTCTCTGCGCCGTCAGAGCCGCACTGCACACCGTACGAGTAGAAGTTGACGCGCGGGGGCCGCGTAGGAGCCGGCTCCAGCGCCCCCGTCTCAAACATCTCCTCATCCGGGTCATCGGTGAGGGAGCACTCGTCCTCGTCGTAGATCTCCGAGCCGATCAGTTCCTCAATCACGTCCTCCAGCGTCACGATGCCGACGAAGGCACGCCGCTCCGTCCCGTCGGACAGCAGCGCCATGGGTGTAATCACCGACGCCCCGGCAGGGGTGGCGTTCCCCTCTGGCCCACCCGCATCCTTTTGGCTGTGGGCTCGGCGATGTCGGGGACAGGAAGCGCCGTCCAGCGAAGAGCCGCGCCCACGGCTCTCCTTTTCTTCTTCATCTCCGTTGTTGTTGCTCTCCCCGTTGCTTTCCTCTGTTGAGGCGGTGTGGTGAGCATCACCGCGGCGGCGCGCTGCAGGCGGGGATGCCACGGACCGCTTCTCCTCGTTGCTGCCGAGGCCCCCGCGAGCCGTGCCGGGCGGCGACGGCTCCACAAAGACGAGCTGTGTGTGGTGGTGCTCGAAGATGTAAAGCATGTCCTGCAGCAGTGTGTCTGCCCGCACCACCAGCACATCGCGTGGATGCCGCACGATAAAGTCTCGCACTGTCGCGTCGTTGTCGCGCCCGAGGTAGGAGTTGTCGACGAGGTCCTTCACATAGAGCACCCCGATGATGTTCTCGCGGGCGCCTTGGTAGACCGGAATGCGGGAGATGCCGTACTCCCAGAGCCGGCGCTCGAGCGCGGTGTCGAGCATGGCCTCCGCCTCCAACATCACCGCCTTCGACATCGGCGTCATGGCCGCATCTACGGTGACCTCGTTCATGTCCATCGCGCTCAGCATCATGCGCACCTGATCCACGTCGATTCCTGACTTATCGGGGAACTTCTCGCAGTGCACGCGAATGAGCTTCTTCAGTTCGTTGCGGTCGTAGATCTGGCCGGCGTCGTGGCCCACCATGCAGTCCAGCATAAGACCGAGCGGCTTCGCGATGGGCCACAACAAAAGGAGAGACACCTTCAGCGCCGGCAGACTCGTCGAGCCGGCGAAGAGGGCGTTGTTTTGGTTATTGCAGAAGCTCATCGGGAGAATCTCCCCAAAGATCAGCACCACCAGCGTGCCCGCTATAAAATTCACGATCTCGCTGCCCTGCACAATCGCCGCCACGAGCTGCGAGGTCAGGACGAGGGTGAGCATGTTACCCAGCAGTAGCGTCGCCAGCAGCTGATGGCCGAGCTTGCGCACGGGTAGAATTCGCTGGGCGTAGGTCTTATCTGGCTCTCGGCCGGCGTCGGCGATGATCTCGAGGTAAATCGTTTCCATCCCCAGCAAGCCAATCGTCAGACCGCAGTACATGGCGGACAGCACCACGGTGCAGAGGCAGAAGACCACGAGCACCCACATGGGCCACGCCGCGTAGCCGGTCGGTTCGTTAGTCTTGGTCGCCCCCATCGCGACATGCGCCAGCACAGCAGCGGTGAGCAGCAGTTGCCATGGACGGTGCTCTTTAGCGGTCAGCGTGGGAAAAGGCAAGACGACGTTTCTCATTAAAAGTCGAATCACTCACGAACGAAAAGAAAAACAAAGTTGAATACAGAAAGAAAAGGGCAGACGCGTTGAGGCGCTACGCAGTTTGAAGGGTACGAAATCTGAACGCGTGAATCGATAAACCCAAAAAGGTGTAACGAGGCGAAGAGAAAGGAGGGAGCGGGGAACGAAAAGAATGTGCAGCAGACAAAGCGGTGTCGACGTCATCGTGCGGCTCCGAGCAGAGATGCCTTCGCGGAAAAGCTCACGCACTCGTTTGAGAAGTCCAGATGCGCAACGAGACCGTCTCCATTTTCGGTTATTGGAGGAGTAGTAGCTTTGCGCTTGGAAGAAACACGTATTTGAGAACGCACATACACACTCATTGACTTGATGAACACTCAGCCATAGTGCGGAGAAACAATCCTACCACCGACCATTGCCGCCTAAACTGAAGAGGGAGGGGAGGCGGGGGAGGCGGGGAGGAGAAGGATCTGTTCTATGCACTGGTGGCACCTGCTTCGCTGGCTTCTTCCAGAGTCCCACATATCCGTCGCCATTACATTGCTCATTTCCAGTGGCAAGACTTGCTAACCCATAGTTCACGAATGTCTCGGACACAGCGGGCAGGACGTGTTCATCAACCTGAGGATAGGCCTTCCCTCTGCTACACGCGCCACCACTCTCCCATCATCCACATCATCCCCAAAGTTGCGGCACAACGAATCCGCCGGGTTGAGGCTCCCGAGAATGTAAAAGAAGACGACGGTGATGTCCCGATTAAAGAACAGGTCGTTGGTCAAAGCGTACAGGTGATTGAGATACTGGCCACGGCCGATGCCGCGAAATCCGTTCTCTCCTCTCTGTGCAAAGGCGATCGGGTAGTGGTCCGTCACCGTGGCGACGCGGGACACCGTGCCCGGAAAGGTTAGCAAGGATGTACTGCAGAAATACAAGGGCGGCATGCGGCGCTGCGTTGGCCGAGAATCGTGCGTTGAGAGGCATTTGAGAACCGCGGCTGTTCGTGACACCGCGCACGCTGAGGTCGTGTGTCCAACGACTCTGGAAGGCGCGGACAGTGCCGTCACGCCAGCGCGCAATCGCTCGCCAGCGCGACGCCGAAGCATCCGTGATGATGGTGGTGTCGTAGTCGGAGTCCTCGTAAGTCGCGCCAATTGGTTGCGCGATTATACAAGAACAGTTTTCCACCAACGCGCGCTGATCAGAACCACTCAGGTGCGGGATCTCCGCATCCCAACGATGCCCTCCAACCACCTGCCGAAACCGAATTCGCTTTCCACACGTCCCACCGCAGCGCTTTTTAGGGGATGGCAAACATCGAGGAGGAATACAAAGCCAAAAACTGGGAAGGCCTCCGCACTCCGGCGCTCCAGCGGGCGCGCCAGAACAACGTCACGTCGATTGAGCGTCTGCTCTTATCGGTGTTCCTTTTCGACGACGACGTTGAAAAGGCAGCCTTCTTTCTCTGTCATTACATGTTGACAGTGCCGTCCGGGCAGGCCATCACGTACCGCAACGTCGCCTCACCCCACCGACTCCTTTAACGAGACGGCAGGGCACGGTCGGCCTGCACCTACCCCGAGGCGGGTTGGACAGGGCACTCCACCCTTCTGCGGTAATGACATTAGCGGTAGTTTTGCGTATCCCAGTGAGAGAGGCGTTGCCGGCGCTGCTTGGACTTCGCAGCAGTGACCAGGGAGGCCAGCTTCGCCTCTACCGTGCGGTAGCGCTGCGCACCCGTAGCCTGGACGCCACTGAGGAAAGCCTCAAGGTCCGAGAGATCCACGTGGGCCACCACGTTGCCCACCGCGTCGATCACCGGTGCTCTGTACTCACCACCAACGAGGGTTTCGCCTTGGAGAGCCAAGGCGCCAACGAAGTCCGCAGCCCCGCCAACAAGGTGTTTAGTCTGCGCGCCGCGCATGAGGAGCGTGTGCATGTCGTGCCCTTTGACGGGGTACCAGACCACCTCTGCAACGTGGCGGCGTGCGGCGGGAGCCAAACGCTGGAGCGAGGCCACGTTGCGGTACGTGATGGCCTGCCCGGACGGCACTGTCAACATGTAGTGACAGAGAAAGAAGGCTGCCTTTTCAACGTCGTCGTCGAAAAGGCACACCGATAAGAGCAGACGCTCAATCGACGTGACGTTGTTCTGGCGCGCCCGCTGGAGCGCCGGAGTGCGGAGGCCTTCCCAGTTTTTGGCTTTGTATTCCTCCTCGATGTTTGCCATCCCCTAAAAAGCGCTGCGGTGGGACGTCCGGAAAGGTCGTGCGAGGCGGGGGGCGCCGGTAGTGGCGGTGCCCGTGCTAGGAGGGGACTGAGGCGTGAGTGAAGAACATACGAGAAGACACAAGAGGAACTGCGAAGGAGCACCAGTGTGTTTAGTCGCTGTGCAAGCCGTGAGCAACGAGAATGGAGAAAGAGAGAGAGAAGGAAGGGGAAGATCGATGTCATTACCAGGGAGAGCATAGCGGAGAGCCAATCGGCCACGAGGAGGACCTCGCTCGACACGCCACAACCACTGTCGAGTGGGCTTCCACCCGACACGAATATGAGGTCCTCTTGTGTTCGTTCGTTCCGTCATGGATGTTCTTACGGTGCCCCTGTGTTTTATTTACTCTTTCCTTTCTGCGTTGCTTCCGCGTGGAGGTTACGCCACAGGAAGCAACGTCGGCAATAGAGAAAAAAACGAAAAGAAAACACTTATCATTAACGGCAACGACACTTTAAGGACAAACAGAAAGAGTGAGTGAGAGAGAGAGAGAGTGAAAGAGAAAACAAAGAAACAGTTTCAACGACACAGCGATACAGCCACGGCAGCACCCCCACGCCATCCCTTTAATAAGCGTGCGACAAAACATTTAAATACATATATATGTGAACAAAGGAGTTGCTATCTGTGAGAGTAAACGTGTGTCGGCGCTGCAACTCGACCTTTTCTTTTTTAGAAAATGAGAAAACAGAGAGCAATACGGTTGCAAAAAAAAGAGAAGAAAAACAAAGCAATGCATAGCAGTACAGGTCAACGCGGTGTCGCCGAGAGTTTAACAAAAAAAAACAGAAGAAAGAAACGTTCTCAACGCAACTATCACGAGCTCTTGTCATCGGCACTCCTCGGCCCACAATGTCAGACAGCATAGAAGACGCAGATAGCACTCAGACTTCTGTCTTGCATGACCCGCCTTCCGCCTCCAACAACGAATAGAAGAATCGAGAGGTGCAAAGAGTCCGAGAGAGATGCATTAGCTGAGACCTGATTCCACCCTCCAAACTCGCGATGGGCCTCAAACGCATTATCTATTCACCCCGCGCAGCGTCCCGCTGCCAAACTTACTCCCTACAACGTCAGGGGACGATGGTGCACTGGACTTGGCGATTTCCTCTTTTTCCATTTCTAATAGGTAGCACTACTAACGAAGTGGCAAACAAGGGTACTTGAATTGGTTAAACCCAAGGATCCCGGTCGTGGTGGGCAACCACGGGGGTGGGTGGGTGGAAAAGAAAAAACTCAAAAGTTGTGTGAGAACTTTGATTCTGCAAGTCCCAAAGATAAGGCGAAGGAGAAGAGCGAGGGAGAGTAGTAGAGGTAGAAATCATGTCATCAGCAAACGTCGGAGCCATTGTTCCTCATCCTCCTCGTATCATTCTTACTCTTTTCATCACTCCATTTTTTTCGTAAACTATCAAAAAAAGAAAGAAAGAGAGAGCAACAGTTTGAGAAAAGAAAATTTAAAAAAAATCCAACCCCTCGCACATACCGACACACACACACACACACATAAATGCTTTAAAGCAAATATATATTAAAACAAACATCAGTTCTGGTGCACTAAAATCCCTCATCGCGGCCATCATTACAGAGCGTTTTTTAAGTTGCTGTTTGGCTTTATTTTTAGAATTCCAAATTACGCATGTTATCGTTTAGCGCGCACGCATGTCTACCGCGGTCGACACGGTGAGTGTCTCATCCTCTCCGATTATAATTCATTGTTATCGCTGCACACACTGACGATGTTTTTCCCTATTATTACTTTACTTCCCTACGACGTCTTCTTCGAGCTGAAGGTGCCGTACGGCTGCCCTCGCGGACTGTGGTGATGGCTGCCCTCCGATTGAGAGCCCAGAAGACTCTCCTTCTCAGGGGCCGGCGACGGGTTAAAGGTGCTGCGTGCCGGTGAGAGACGAATCGTGAGGGGTGAACCGGGGCCGAGGATGCGGACGTTGTTGTTGCGATGGCGACTAATCGTCTGGTAGGACAAGTACTTCTCATACAGCTCCTTCGGAATGCAGTAGACACGCGCCGCGGCGGTGACGATAGCGCTGAAGTCCGGCACAAAGAACGGCATCGTGAGGGCCTCCTCGCCGATGTAGTTGAAGCTCTGCAGCTTCGAGCGGAAGTTCTCCGAGCCGACGAGGAGTTCGACGCGGCCGCCGAGCACGAGGAGGAACTTATCGGTGCGGATGCCGCGCTTGTATAAAATGTGCGACTCGTCCGCTGCGGCGTTGATGAACTGCCTGTGGTCGCCGCGGTAGAGGGACGGCGCCGCGAAGCTGCTGCCGCGTCCACCGTAGAAGGAGCTGGCGGCGCTGTGGGTCGTGTCCATGGAAGGCTCCAGCGGGGTCCTCAGCGGCGCCTCGGTCACGCTGTTCGCCTGCCTCTCCGGCGGACTCAAGATTTGAATGTCCTTGCACTCGTCCAGCAGCAGCTTGATGAAGGGCGGCTGCCACGCGTAGAAGCACTCCACGGCGCGGTTCAGAAAGTAAGCAACGGCCCACACCTGCGCCTCTGTCAGCGGGATCTCCTCCGTTGGGTGGGTGAGGTAGGAGTAGAAGTTCACTCGCGGTGGCTTCTCCGGCTCCCGCGGCACGTTCAGCTGGTGCGGGTGCCTCCCATTCCCGGGAATATCCAGCGAGTTGTACCGAGTGGCGTGCTCGACCGGCTCGTAGCGGTCGTACTCGTCGTAAATCTCCGCCGAAATGAGCTCCTCGACGACGTCCTCCAGCGTCACGATGCCGATGATCTTCGGTGCGGTTCCGCCAAAGCTGCGGTGCGGCGCGGAGGTCCGGTGAGCGAGGTCGAAGTCCGTCACAAAGCACGGCCCCACCGTCGCCCCTGACGCGTTCGTCACCTCCTCAAACACCACCGCCATGTGCGTCTGCGCCTCGAGAAAAAACTTCAGCATCGACGGCAGCAGCGTGTTCGAGCACACCATCGCGAAGAGGCGGTCCTTCGCCTTCACCACCTGCGCCACCGTCAGCGGCGCAAACTCGTTCGACACGTTGACTGTCATTAAGTCCTTCACAACGAGGATGTGCTCGAAGACGCCTGGGGCCGACTCCACCGGCACCCGCGAGCGCCCCGACATCCACAGCCGCTCCACGAAGTCCGGCGTGATGAGGTCAGTCTCCTGCACGTAGGTCATCTCCGCCAGCGGGGTCATGATGTCGCACACTTTGCGCTCGTGGAAGTCCATGGTCGCCAGCATCAGGTTCAACTCCGAGGTGGCCATGTTTGCGTCGCTCAGCCCCTCCCGCTCGTAGTGCATCACCATCAGCTTGCGCAGCTCCTTCTTGTCGTACAGCAGGCCGGTCTCCTCCGAGCCGACGACCTTGTCGAGGAACCAGCCCAGGGAGGCGGAGATCGGGTAGGTGAGAATCATTGCCACCTTCACGAAGATCGACCCCGCCGCGGCGACACGCAGCGAGTGCTTGGAGCGGCAGATCGACATGGGCAAGATCTCAGCGAAGACCACAATAATGAAGGTGCTGACGATGAACTTGTAAAGCGCGGAGCCGCTGTCGTCCACCACGTGCGTAGACGAGCCGCGCGTCTGGATCGCCTCAATCACGTCAAACACTTCGCTGAACTCCTGCACAATAAGCACGTTGCACAGCATATTGGTGATGATCAAGGTGCAGAGCGTTTTGTGGCCTTGCTTGCGGAGCGGGAGCACCGTTGCGGCGTACGTGCAGTCCGGCAGCGGCCCGCTCTCTGCGATGATCTCCAGCGTGAAGGTGTTGGCGCACATCACGCCCAGTGTAAGGCCGGCGAAGACGGCGGAGAGAAAAGCAAACATGCAGATGCGCAGACAGTGGTCGAGAAGCGAGTAGACGCGCTTCGTCTGCTTCCAACGCTCATTCTCCAGCTTCTTCTTCGCGGCATCTGTCGCGTCCTTCTGGCTCATCACACCGTTCGCGCAGAGTGCAGCGGCGATGAGGCACATATACGCACCAAACATAAGACATGCACGAATCTTCCGCACGTTGGCGGCACGAGCGCGGTCGAGCAGCAAGGCTCCCATCACGGCGATCAAACGGAATATACACAGAAAAAGGAGGAAATCAAGTCGCGGAGGAGGAGAAGTGTGAGTTAGCGGCAGTGAAGTTTTCAAGGGAAGAGGAAAACAAAACAAAATAAGAGGCAGGCTTTGGTAAGTCAAATAACGCGCCTACGAAACACATACAAAGATGCAAAGACTGTGTCACCCCACAAGCGACTACGGTTCATCGAGAACGGGTAAGAAGGAGCGTTGCGTAGAACGGCACCGGTGAAAGAAAAGGCACAGGGATGCGCTGTGTGCGTGAAGTTCGAGTGGCGGAGACGAACGGACAACGCAGTGGGAGGAAAAACAAAAGGAAACAGAAGAGGTGAAGTTCAGTAAAAGAGAACACTACAGAAGACGAAAGCGGCCGGGCTCCGTTGTGACCGCGCGAACGTACACACGGCATTCGCGCGCCCTCCACGTCTGCGCATCCTTCAACTTCCTTCCTTTTGCATCGAAACACGAACGCAGCGAACCGCCCATAACGGTAGAAAGGAAACGGCGGAACACAAAAGACGCCGCTTTGCGCTAATCGTCTTCGCCCAGTGCGAAGAAGAAGATGAAATGCACAACATATGGTCCGTCTGTGAAGTCTACTGCACAGACTGACCATATCCAAGCGCATGCGGCACATCAGCAGCTTCGTAAAACGGCACCTCTCTTTTTCTATTTCCTTCTTCTTCTTTCTTTCTGGTGGTGAGACATCTCTCCCCATGCCATGCAATACAGACATGTTAGTGCATTAGCGCAGCACGGTTAATAAAGTGCGTTTATCTAGTTAAGTGAAGCAAGTAGAAGAGTTCATGTTGCGTTAAACGAGCGTCAGTGGGGTAAAGTGAGAACGTCTGTTGGAGGAGAAAACTTAATTAAAAAAAGGAAAACACACAGTTGAGAACAACAAAAAGGGAAAAAAAACGGCATCGAAGAAGATCGCAGCTGACATCCTCCGCAACAGACCCACTACCCCAACAACAAAAGATAGTTAAAAAGAAAAACCACCAACTACGCCCACACATGTTTGGTATACTGCCGCATCTTTTCGCCGTCAACAAAACGGAAAGAAGACGAGCAACACGCAGCGCTGTTTACACCGCTGTTTCTTTGGAATGTACGTGCGGAGATGCACGTGGGGCATCGTGCTTGCATGTTCCACGCGCCTTTTCCTCCCTCTCTCCGCATGCACTACAGCAGACCAAAGCCAGAGGCGTACGCCATTGGACGCTTTCCTGGGTGCGGCACCGCCGTGAAGGTTGTGTACTTCGGTTCCATCACCCCACCCGTCAGGCGAATAAAGGCACCCTTGTTCCCCATCTGGTCACAATAGTTCGGAGCGCTAAAGACGGTGATGCACTTGCCGTCGTGGTCCACCTCGTAGCCCTCATCCTTCACCTCGTGCGAGCGCACCACCAGTCTCAAGTCATTCGTCTTCAAGAAGTTCGCCGTCACATCGGGGCCGAAGGAGGGGCAGTCCACCCCGCGCTTACTCGGCGTCCGCCCCGGCATCGGCTGCGGGTCCGCCCACAGACTCTCACAGATGAGGCCCTTCTCGGGGATCTCGCGGAACCGGTTCGGCTTCTGCAAGTCCGCAATCGTGACACCATCGCTTGAGTACAACCCGCCGTGCACCACAAACACTTGCTTGTTTATGATGTGGCCGGTGGGCAGGGCGTTGAAAACCTCGGAGAACAAATCGAAGACCTCCGCAGAATACTTGGCCCGCACCTCGCCCTCAAAGCCGTAGACGCGGTTCATGGGGAGGCCTTCGTGGTTGCCGCGAGATAGAAAGACGTGATTCGGGTAGAGCAGCTTGTACGCGAAGAGCACCAGCACGTTCTCCACGGAGTAGGAGCCGCGATCGACGAAGTCGCCGTTAAACAAATAGCGGTTTGTGGGCGACGGGTTGCCGTTCAGCTTGAAGATGTTCAGCGTGTCGTAGTACTGGCCGTGCGTGTCGCCGCACACGGTGATGTCCTCGCCGTCCGGCACGGTGATGTCCACAAAGTTCGGGCACGTCTTGCAAATCGCGAGTACACGCAGCAAAATAAAGACGACATCGTGCCGGTCGATCTTCTTTTCCAGCCGCAAGTGTTCCTTCATGCTCTCCACAAACTCCACCGTGATGACGTCGTTCTCGATGCGGGGGCCGTCGTAGAGCGGCGACACGGTGCCGAGCTTCACCGTCACCGAGACCGGCTCCCCTTCTTTGGACTTGATCGCGTTTTCAAACCGAATGCGTTTAAGCTCCTTCTCACAGAGGTCGTACTTCTCCTTGGCGTCCTTGTCGGTCGGCACGAGCTTCAGCACCACCGCAAAGTCCTTCTGTGCGTCTTTGAACTTGCCAAGGAGGAGGTGGGCGGAGGCCTTGCGGTAATAGGCCTTGACAAAGCCCGGCTCCAACTCGATCGCCTTCTGCGCGTCCGCGAGCGCCGCACCGGCGAGCTCCACTTTCAAGTACGCGAAGGCGCGGTTGCACAGCAGCGTCGGCGTCTTGTACGCCTCAATGGCTTGGCTGTAGAGGTCGATGGCGTGGTGGAACTTCTTGTTCTGGAAAGAGGCGTTGCCCTCCTGCTTGAGGCGATCCGACTCCTGCATTGTGCTAGGCGGGTACTTGCGGTTTTTAATTTGTCTGTCCTCTTTTTTAAAGGTGAATTAATAACTAATGATCGTTTCAGCAGATTCGGGCGTGCTTATGGACGAGGTTCCTTCTCTCTCTCTCTCTCTTTATCTAAAGCGGAGAAAAACGATGCGGCTGATATGTTTCAAGTCAACTCACGCAGCAGTGGCAGTTGCGGTGGGACACATCAACTGGGGGGGTTTACGCACAGAGAAGCCGTCGACTGCGGTTCGCCGGACGTGCTTCTCTTCTCCTCCTTCTTGTTTTCTTCTTTGCCTCCCCAGCGGGTTTGGTGACGCTACGTGGCAGCTCTTAATGGACGCCGTATCCACAGAGAAGTGCGGCATGTAAAACGCGAGAAAGAAAGCGCGAGGTGTGGAGAACAGAAAAGGAGGTGGAGAGGACGAGATTTACTTCGTAGGCATTTCAGGTTTGTCGGCATAAAGAGAAGAAGGCACAGAAGCCGCCGCCACTGTCTGTGTCGTCGCCGCGGTGCAAAGCGTAGTTCAAAAGCATAGCGTGGTTCGTCGTCTTTTGGCGTCGCGGATTACACGAACACCAATAAGCGCATACGCAGTGAACGGCACGTATTCGAAGCGTTCTCGCTTTTCAGGGGCGGCAACGCAGAGCAGACAATGAGGCCACGAGAAGGGTCATTCGGTTTGGCTCAGGTGCGGAGAGAGCAGCCCTGAGGGGGATTAAACGCAAAAAAAAAGGGGGCTAACAAAGCAGTCAACGGGAGTGAGGGGCGGGGGGAGGGGAGAGGCTGCACGGGAAGGGGGCGGACCTGGACAGAACGCAAATAGAGATACAAAAAACACAAGAGAAAAGAAGCAGCGCGCACCCACGCGAAGATGCGAGAAGAAAAACTGCAGAATGCGCCATCAAAACAGGAGGAGGGAGCGGAAACCTCAAAAGCAGCAGCCGCATTGATGAAAGGCCGCCACAGCGCATTCTCCCTCAGCAGCCAGCGGCACTGCCAAGAAACTTCGGATCAAAACTCAGCACACAGCATAGTAATAGAAATCAGGAAATATATATATATAAAGCAAGCGAATGAAGTCCGCCCCAATGCCCTTCGGCGGACAAACCAGCAGCAACAAAAACAGAAAGTAAACATGGGAAGTCATGAGAGCACGTTCCGCAGCTAATGGCAAAACTGTTACGCTGTCTCCCCTCTAGCGAAGGGGTCAAGAAATGGGAAAAGCCCCACCACCAGAGTCGCGCTGGTTTGCGAACTGGAAAGCGGATATATATTTATTTAATGCGCACACGCCCTTACAGCTTGCACAGCCCCCCCCCCCCCCTTTCCGGTCGAATACGAGACAGTACTACTGTTGAAATTGGGGTTCATTTCCCCTCTCCCCCCCCCCCCTCCTCTACACCTCAGCTCCGTGTCGTGAGTGGCTTTGCACGTCTGAATGCGGCCGCAGAGGCTGGAAGTCCATCGGTGCCACATCGGTGCCCAGCGGGTCCGGCTCAGGAAGGCTGTCCACGTAAAAGCGATCCAACTCCCCGCGGTTGAGCTGCTCAAGCGCCCTCTTCATGATGCGGTAGTATCGATCCGGGAAGTGATCAGTGAACATCGTCGGCGACGACATGAGCATCTGCACCTCCTCGGGTCCGCGGATCACCGGAATAAAAAACTCGTCGGTGTAGAAGGTGCAGCACGCCGGGCAGCACGTGCACCGACTCACTCGCACCGTTCGCATAAGATGGATGGTGGTGGTGCAGCTGAATAGCTTCAACGTTTCCTTTTTCGGCACGCACGGCGAGAAGCGCAGCGACTCGCGGTAGGAGGCGCTCTCCACCCCATGTCGCTCCTGCGCCGGCTCGGCGGTCGACGGGTGGATTGGCTTGACAATGGCGTGCGTGCGGAGCACGTTGAAGAAGATGACGTTCTTGTTCATGGACGACGCGGCGAGAAGATCAAAGATAGATTCGCGGAAGGAGTCGAAGGTGTGCTGCGCGAGTCGCGGGACCATATCGTAGCCCAGCGAGGTGCCAACGGCGAAGCTGCTCTCGTACTCCATCACGGCGCGTGACAGCGTGCCTCCGGGAGGCGAGTAGGCGAAACACCGCAGGCGGCCACGCAGCGACGGATTATCAGACCACAGCAGCGCCGACAGGATCAGCCCGACGCCGGCACCGAGAGAGTGGCCCAGCACCACCAACTTCTTCGATGAGTAACGTCCACGCAGGATCACGTGCAGAATGCCTTGCTGGCGCAAGTTCTCGAGCACAAATCGCGCGCTGCGGAGCATGCCACCGTGCACGTAGTACTCACTCGGAGGGTGCTTCTCCTCGGCGCCGTCTAACGTAATCACCTCTGGCGTCGCCGCGAAATCCGTCACGCAGTCCTGAAGCGACATGCTGCCACGGATCGCGATGATGAGCGCGTCACTGCTGCGATCAAAGGCGACGTAGTGGACGGGTTGGCAGACCTTGTTGCGCCAGTTCGTGTACAGCACGTCCTCCTCAGGCACCATCGTCTCGTGCAGCAGAGCGGTGACGTCGCAGTAGCAGCACTGATCGACGTGCCGGCCCGGGCGACTGCGACAGCTCATCCATGGGTCAAAGCAGCACAGCCGCGGCACACCCGTAAGGCAGTGCTGGAAGGTGAAAAGCAGCCAGCCGTAGGCGGCCATGTAGAAGCGACTGTAGTACTGCAGCTCACGGGCCAAGGCAACCTGAGGCGGGGTCAGCCGCAGCGCCAGTCGGGCCTGTGACGAGACGTGCTCCACGTACCCGTTTGGATTCGGCGCGTAGTGCACCTTGGCGGACAGCAGACGGCGGGACCGCTCTTGGTAGCCATGCAGCAAGAACATACCCGCCGCTATGTCGCTCGGCACGATGTCGTAGCCACGGAAGGCAGCCGCCAGGACCTGGGCCAGGTCGCTGTACGCGTCCTCCGTCTCGTTCCGCTTACCGCACCGACAACAGCAAATGCGCAGCCGCTTCCACCACACATTCGCGTAGTCGCTGTTGTTCCGCAGGACGTGGGTGCCGCTCGGGTCGTAGGCGAGGGCGATGGACACGACAAAGGCGGCGAAGATGATTAAGTCCATCACGATGGCGCCACGAAAAATGTGCCGTGTCGAGGCCCGCCGGCAGCGTCGCGCCTCACCGTCGTAGATGGCGTACTTCGCGCTGAGCAGCGCCAACACACACAGGCAGCAGACGCAGACGGTGTCAAGGTAAAGCAGCACCGACACCGCCTCCCGCTTCGAGAGCTCAAAGACGCCCCCACGAAAGCAAAAGGCGCAGGTGCAGAGGAACAGCACCGCAGAGACGAAGTTGGCACCCATCAGACCCATCGTGGAGCGGCCCCACTCCACCGAGGCGCCATCGCACCCGTTCAGGTAGTTGTCCGAGGAGGTGCTGGCGCGGGTGGCGAGCATCACGCCGCTACCGATCAGCAGCGCTGTGTAGAGCATGCTGGAGAGGGCGAAGTCGTCGGAGGCAAAGCGCCACTGGCGATTGAACCACGTCATGGCAGGCATCGCGAAGGCCAAAGCAAATTCGGCGTGCGTGAACCGCACACCAACACCACACGTGATTACTGAAGGAAAACGCTCGTCGGGGAGACCGAACGAAGCGGAGTCGACGCAGCAGAGCGCTTGTGAACAACGGCGGTGCGAATGCGCGACGGAAACCGGAGAAAAAAAATAGGAGTGGAAGTGCCGCGGGCACACCCGCAACGTGCAGTGGGCTCGATTGCCGGGTAGGAAAGATCCAATGGTAGAAGTACCAACAAAGGAAAGAAAAGAGCAGATGCGGAGGAGAGAGGTGGTGAGGCTGTTGGGGCGTATCGCGGAAGGCGCACACGGAGCCGGTGAATGGAAAGACGATCCTTTTTTCTTCCTTCTTCATCAACGCAGCCTTTTTACTACTGAAGGCTGCAGGACCATAAAAAGGCGATGAAGGACTGTTGAAGCGAGTCACCTCCGACAAGAGTATGCAGCTAGGCTACAGGAAAGCAGTGGTGAGTCCTTCACATGAAAACGTCACGACGCTTTCGGATCCTCAGCTTTATCCCCGCAAGTAGTGAAAGAACGCACGACTGCAAGAACTCTCCTTCAGCCGCCTTTTACCTAGTGGTGGCGCACTTTTGTTGCTGGTGCTGTTCTGGGGGGTATTTGTGCTCCGCATTGATGGTATATATAAACTCGAAAAACAGTCCATGAGAAGGAGTTCCTTACGCAGCTGCAAATTCGTTGTACGCTGGTTAGCACACGCAGCACCACCGTCTTAATGAAACGTGGAAAGTGCGTAAAACAAAACAAAAACAGAAAGGTACGCAGGCACTTCTGAAGGTCTACTTCCGTTATCGGCTCGTTGTTGCTGCATCCACCCGTGTACTTCATTAACGTTACTATTTGATTTTGTTCTTTCATTTTTTTTTTAGAGAGAACGCACACGCGTGTGATTCTGCTGCGGTTTGTTTTTGGTTGTTCTTTCTCACCTCGGACAGCAACATGGCCTCGTAGAAGAAAACGTAGAGCTTTAGCTTGCGCTGCGGCTGCTAGCCAAGACTTTCTTTTCTTTTTAGTTTTCATTTTCTCGGGCTGCTGCATTCATTTAAGCGCAGCGTCATTGATGCCGGAGAAACGAACAAAGAAGAAAAAATAATAATAATAAAGGGTGCCTACCGGAACGTAGAAGCGCCGCAACACTGTTCACTCGTGCACTCGCAGGCTCAGGGCCAGCGTTGCTGCGGAGCTCAAGTGTGGTGCTGCTGAGAGGTAGAAACTGTTGTGTCTGCGTGCTGCTCAAGGAGCCTACATGGATAGAGATAGCTCATGCGTGACTGAAGAGATAGAGAAAATACATATATATATATATATATAACGTAAAACACAAACAAAAGGGAGCACTTGAGAAGACGTGAAAAAAAAAAGGGATGAAGAAAGAAAGCCGTGCTGGCCCCACTGATTCATTGAGCTGTTCTTTCTGTAATAATACCAGCAAGAGATGGGAAATAATGTGTTATTTACCCCCCCCCCCCCCGTTACGGGGAATATGCGGGAGTACGTAAAACAGAAAAACAGATAGAAAAGAGAAAAGAGGGAGGAGTGGAGGGCAACACGCGCAGAAGCAGCGTCACAACGTCGCAAAGAGAAAACAAAAGGTCAAACACGCCGCCTTTCTTTGCTTGAAAAGCAGTAACAGTAAAAAAAAGGAACCAGAAAAAACAACAAAAGACGAATGACAAATCCACAGGTAAAAATAGGGAGAGAGAGAGAGAGAGAGAATGAAGAGCGCAAGCGAAGTGGACGAGCTTGAGAAGCAAACAAAGGCAACATATACATATATAAAGATATATGCCAGCAGGCTCTTCGCTGATTTAGTGAGTAAAGGAAGATATAGGGGAGTAGTAAAAAAAGAAATAACAAATTTCGAGGTATATAACGAAGCTGAAACACTCAAGAGCTACCTTCAACAGAGACAGGAAGAAGCCGTACGTTGCTCTTAGAAAAAAAAAGCAGGTTTCCTTGTTTTTCTCCACTGGCCTCTCCTTTTTCTCGCCGGTCTCGTTTCTTTGTTTCAGTAGCCTTTCTTTGACTGTCTGTCTGCCTGTGCTGCCCTACGCGCACGTCACATCATGAAACAGCGCACACACAGACAGAAAGAAGCAGCAGCACGAGACCACCCATCCCGTCGCTCGATCAGGGACCGTAGAAGCCTGCCCTTTGTCCGGCGGCTATCAAGAGAAAGGAGAAGAAACACACGTGGAACCAGCATCGGTAAAGTGAACTATGAGACTCCCGGTAAAAACTATAAGGGGAACAAAAGGTAGGAACAGAAAACAGTTTTGTGATGCGTGTTTTTTGGTTTGTTTGTTTGAGCGGTGCAACGTCACCCCATTGCCTCACGAGCGCCTGATTCGTCAAACCTTTATGTATAGGTCGTCGTCTCCGACACAGAATTTGCCCACGAACCCTTCTGGCCTGAGACATCAGCACGATCGATTGAACCCACCGAGAGAGAGAGAGAGACAACAGTGAAGGAGCCGCAAACGAACAGTAAAAAGAACAGAAGAAAAGAAAAACATCGCGAGACTTTCGCGGTTTTGCCGAAAGCGGTAAAAGAAAAAAAAAAGAAACAACGGGTAAGGGGAAGAGCAGAAGAAGAAGGAGGGCAAACAAAAAAAGTGTGGGTCCGACAAACGTCAGTTTTATTTTTTTCTTTTTACCTCCTTTCGATGATTTGGCCTTTCCATTCGCCTTCGGTGCGTTTCTTTCGTGCGCCTCAAGAGAGTGAGTGAGTGAGAGAAAAAAAAACTTGGGGAAAAATTTTTATTCAAAAGTAAAGTAAACCATTAAAAGAAAAAAAAGGGATTCGCGATTGTATAGAGGAGCAAAACAAAGGGAATAAACGAAAAATACCACAAGATGAAGTCATTCCCTTTGACCTACGTATCGGATCAAGAAGAAACCAATAAAAAGAAGAAGGGAGGCGGCAGTGGCGCCTCCTCTACGTCCCATAAAGGGAACATGTACGAGCCGACCCGCACTGGCTGTTTCACGTCCATATATATCAGAAAGTACAGAAAAGAGAAGCAAAGAAAAGCCCGCAAAGAAGGAAAAAATTAGAAAGAGGGAGATAAAATCATAGAGAATCGGATAAAGACAGTAAGAGAGTGAAAGAACCTTGCCGAATGCAACTCGATATCACAGATTTGGATACGAGAGAGGGGGGAGAAAAAAATGAAGAAGAAATAAAAACAGCAACAACAATAACAAAAAAAAGGATGAAACGAAAAAGGTTCAAGGGGGAAAAAGTCTGCTCTTTTTTTGACTGACGTATTTTCCTCCGCTTCCCTGTGGTTTTCATTTCTCCTCGGAATAAAACGGAAAACGAAGGACAGAATAGCGCGTGAGTTCTTTCATATATTGTTGTTGTTTTCTTTTTTTAATCACAACCGAAGGCTGAGCGAGCCGCCTGTCGCACTGCTCTCCTCTTCCGTTGTGTACGCTTCCATCGTAGCCACTGTCAGCGATAAGTGTCGTTGAAGAAACGAAACCTTCTTTTCTTCCATGACGCAAAACAAAACAATAATAATAAAAAAGGTGAACAGTTGACGAAGAGATACAAAAAGGCTCATTCGTTCTTTTCCTTTTCCTTCCAAACTATTCCCTAAACTCATTGCACGTACATCCGTTGTGCATCTCGTGCTGCGCCTCGCCAGACAACGAATACATTTCCAGGACACGATATATATATATATCCGTTCATTCCAGTACAGACGTGGCAACTAATTTTCCAAGCAAGACAAAATAGAAATAACAATAATAAACACACGAGAAAGGGCGGTAAAGCAAAACCACTGCTTTCCTTCAAGGTGAAAAGGCAAGCACACACACGCATACACGCCATGGCGAAGCAGACGGTTAGTTGTGCTTATTCAGAATAAAAGAGTACAACGGATTCAAAAAGAAAACCTGCTCTTACTCGTGTGCGTCGTACAGTACGTCTTCGAGTCCTTCGGGTAAGTTCGCCGTTCCATTGGAATTTGTAAAAAAAAAACCGCAGAAGTGTTTACCTACTGTTGCGGCTTTTTTCTCCTCCTTCCCTTTCTTCTTTTATTATTACTTTTGGATTCATCACGTGAGAGGGCCCCGCAGCGAGAACAGCTCTTACCTCCCGTTTCACTGAGAAGTCATCAGGCCCATTTGGCTGCTCCTAACGGCTGCAGTGGTGGTGGTGGCGGTGCACACGTACGTTGACGGTTTCCACACACACCCACACACACACACACACCTCCAGAAGAAAAACAAAAATCCGCGACTCTAAGATCATACGAGCGGCTTACCAACAGCGTGCCGGAGAGACGGAAAACACACACGCGCACAATCAAAAAAGGAAAGCGAGGCGTCAGACAGATAAAACACACGCCAACGACGAGAACAGGACACCACGCCGAGGGGCACAGTGCGAGACAGAATCTTTCCTTCACAGAAGCGCCGACCACCACGGTGCAATGCAACTTCATAAAAGAAAAAAGAAAGTCAAAAGAAAGAGCGCTCCATACACCTCATAAACAGACAAAAATAGATAAAAATAGCAATAGAAGAGAAGTGGCTGCTGAGGAGGAGAGGGGGGAGGGGAGAGTGGACCTCTCCCTCTTTTGCTGTTTTCTTTGTATGTAACACGGCGTTGAAACACGCAGCATGCGAACGCCAAACACGGCATGATGCGCAGCATAGTACACACCAGACGGGACGTCTTGACCTGACGTGTCATGTACAGATGCAAAGAAAAGCAACACTTCTCCTCTTACAGTAAGCAATCAAACAAAACAGAAGAAAGCATTACGCATGTATTTCACACCGCTGTGTGTGAACAGCACGTCATCAGCCACGTCGTCAGAACGCGAGAGGAGGGAACCCACTACTCACGCTGCCAACGAAAAGTTGATGCGGAGGCTCACCACAAACAAACAAAGAAAAAGAATTGCGTAAGGAGAGAGAAGAAGGAGAGACGGTGTAGAACAAAATCGGGAAAAGACAAAAGAGAGGAGGAGTACGGCGGGTACTTTGCCAAAGGGAAAAAAAAAGAAAAAGAGAAAAACGAAGGAGGAGCTTTTGTTGGAGATTGGTGCGATCCGTGGAACGGTAAAATGAGAAGCAAAAAAAAGAACGGGGAGATAGGAAACGAAAAAGTTGTTGCCCAGGAAGAAGAGAAAGTGGAGTTAACGGAAAGAATCGAGGTACTATAAAGTGATGGGGTGGAATAGGTAGAGAGGGGGAAGACGCGGCCGACGGTGCGCATCAATTGCGGCGTCGACCCGCGAGTTTCTCGCTCTCTTGTTAGCATCGTTTCCTTCCTTGGCCTCGTTACAATCCTCTCGATGCCGACACACGTGTGAGGGCAAAGGGTCGCATCAGCAGCAAACAGAGAAGGGGAAACAAAAACAAAAAGTAGTCGGTTAAAGGAAAAGGAAAAGGAGAGCAAAGGAAACAAAAGACGGAGGGAGGCGTTCGGCGTACACCAGCGAGAATGCATAAATTCCTCTTTAAGTGGTAGCGACATCAAACCTCTTTTTTGTTTGTTTTTTTTTTTCAAGAGAAAAACGAGAAAAGGGCAAAAAGGTTAACGTCACCACAAGATCTACGAAGTTCAAAGATAATGGGGGAAAAAGGCTCTTTAACAGCGAAGAGAGGGGGTGGAAAGAGGAAACTCAAACATCAACGGAAATGGAGAGTTGCATTCACGGGACCAGGTGAAGCTTCGCCAACTCAGGGAAAAGAAAAGGGAGGTAAAAAGGTTCCTTACGGAGGAACACAGGAAGCATATAGACAATATAGATAGAGAGAGAGAAATACAGGAACGCAGAACTCCTCGGAGAGACGAATTCTTTTTCTTGTCCCCGCCACGATCGTCCACCGCGTAGTGAACGAGCAGCTCAGAAGGCGCAAGCTCTACTGAGGTTTGACAGCAACGATTAGACCAGAAAAAAAAAAGAAGAGCAAAAAAAAAACTCAAAAGAACTCTTTGCCCTCACAAGCGCAACGCGGCAGACAGAAAAACGTAAAAACAGCGAGTGCCCCCTGCGGAGATTTCTGTTCTCCTTCTTCGTCGATTGCGAGCGTAAGGGCCGCCTGCGCGACCCAGAATGGGCTCACTTCCTCCTTGGCCACATTTTAAGAACGGAAGAAGCTCAAACCCCGCTTCTAAAACGAAGTAACCGTCCTCACAGCCTGACAGCACCACAGCATAATAAAAAAAAAAATTAATGCACGAAGGAAACCGCCGGGGAAGAATGAAACAAAAAGAAGTTAAACGGGAAGAAAGGCCCCCTCTCTGGACTTTGCGTTGCAAAATGAAGAGATAAATGATGAAACGACTTCGAGACCTCTACAATTCTTTCTCTTTTCTTTCTTCTACGCTGAGACAAACGAGAGAAACCACAACATCAAAAAGGAAAAAAACAGAGAGAGGTTGAAAACGCACACACCCACATACATATATATATATATATATATATATATATATATATATATAT